GCTTGTATAATTTTGATCTGAATCTGTCAGTTTGAATGTCACATTAGTCAGTCTTACAAAATTGAATGTCACTGATTTCAAAAAATTATACCAGATTATCTTCTTTCACATTTTTTTTTTTTTTTTTTTTTGAAATTTTGGAAATCTTACAAAATTGAAACAGTCACTGATTTCAAAAGATTATACCAGATTATCTTTTTTATTCCTATTTTTTTGACATTTTGGAAATATGTATCTGAAAGTAGTAACATTGATTAATTTATTAATACCAGAGTATTTGTATTACTTTTTCTTGTCAGAAATTTTGTGACTATATACATATTTGAATGTACCATACCTGCTGTCGCATGAAGGAGTTCTTAATGTGAACCTAAGCTTATGGATGAAAAATATATCATATATTTTTGATATTTTGATATTTGAAATAGATAGCAGATAGTTATCTGATCTTACTTGCCCATCAAAACATAATCAGTGAACAAACATGATACAGAAATAATCACAGATAATTTCATGTCATGAAATGTTTAAACATCAAGCTTAATCAAGTAATTGAAACTGAAAAATGTATTCAATGTTTTATTCAATGTTATACAAAATAAATTTGGAGCAAATTGGATTTCAGTTGTCTGTTATAAAATGTCATTTTTATGAATTAATTTCGTATTCTGATTACAACAAAATAATATAAACTTCGAAAATATATTTTATCATTATTGATAAAGCACCAGGAACCTTCGCAATTGTCCATGCATGTGCGTCCGTAAGTCTGTGACAATGACATCATCAAATTCATTGAAAAGTTTGTTAACAAGTATAAAAACTTAAATTTCCAAACACCAGTTGGTTATGAATTATTGCATACATTTAGTATTAGTTATGTAATTGTGCCCTAGACCCTAGAACAATCTAGCATTATGAATTATTGAATGTCTACTTGATAAACCAGATTTATTTGATAAACCAGATCAAATTGCCTGACCACTCCAAATGATAATTGGACTCTAGGGAATGTACCAAAAATGCAACAACTATCACTTTAGATTAGCAGACATTAAATAGCCCCTAGCATTTCTACCTGATTAAGAATTTAAAAATATCTCTCTTTAAAGAAAAGTCCCGAATCTGTTTCATTAGTTTCCTTATTTCTATTTACATCATTACCGATAGTGTAGTATTTTACAAACATGGGAAGATCTGCCCTGCAGAGGTCTGGTTATCTATTGTTTTTAAAGGTTCATATAGAGTTCATACAAAAAGTGATTCCTAATGAAAGGGATCAATGGAATTTCTCCTTTAACCACAAACATCAAGATTAACTTGGATCAAACTTTATTCTTATACCTCACCAAAATGATATTGATTACTTCCAGCCTTGCTTGCTTGAGTCTTTTCCCACATGGTTTCAAATTTGACCAAAGAAATATTCCTAATAACACTGACCAATTTCATTTTCAACCACAATCTGATTAAACTTCTTTATGTTGAACCTTCCATCAAGTTTTAATACCTCAATTAAATTGACAGTGATAGCCCCCAACTGTGTTGCTTACAAAACTAAATAGATATCTGTCAGACTTCAAGCATGTCACATTTTGCTTGTAGGATGACAGCCAAGATTGAAGCAACCAATGACATACTATACTTAATGTTATCATTTCAGATGATACGTATGTTGACATCGATCAAGAAAGAAACCTTAAGCGACATCAGGCGGTCCTGTAGTTGTTTCCAGCACAGACATTTGTTTTAAATGAAAGTCGTCGGTGAAACACCGGTGTCAGGAACTCTTCACCCGTACTGTAGGAGATGCCACCATGGTACCAAAAAATATACAGACATAATTATATCTTGGCAGGTTACAAAAATAAAAATCAATGTCGAAGTGATTGACAGGGGCCAAATCAAAGTACTGTCATCAGTGAAGATTGTAGCAAAAATTCTTCACATTTTTTTTTTCCTAAATGATGTAATCAAACATTCATAGTCCAAAAGGAAACAGTTATGTTTCATGAAAAATTCATGTTTTCTTGAAACAATCTGCATCGAATTATTTGTAAGAATAAATTAACAGATATCATTCATTAATTTTGTTATTTTGCACATTGAGGTCCTTTTGGGCATGATGCGAGAATGTTATTATATTAATATATTATCAATACACTTTTTTATAAGAACCAGTTAAATTTTGCCTGTGCTCATTGTTCTTATTTTTATGCTGATTTCAAGCTCAAAATGTTCATTTTGTTCTTATTTTACACACTTTTCAAACATGTGTAGAAAATTATTATTGTACAGCAATATATAATTGTACCATGGAGCTATAAAATCTAATTATATAGCTCCATGCTTGTACTATATAGAGGGTATAACATAGTCACACCTACTGCAAGGTACAGATAACATTTTGTTGGGGGGTTTTTTTCTATTTTTTTATTAAATAAAAAACTATATTTGACATTTTACTTCAGCCTCAACTTGTTCATATTTTTTAAGCAATTCAGCCTCAGTGCTTATAAAATGTGTTCCTATTGAAAAATCCAAGAATGACCATTATAAACAGAAATTGGCTCTACTGTACAAAAAACATCTTTTTTCCTCAACATAAAAATAGTGTCTAGTTATAATATTTTTCATTAGGATATAATACATAGAGGTCCTGTGGCCATAAAGTGCTATGAGACTATAATTATTATTATCTTTATTTACCAAAAATCTAAGACTGACCATTATCAATAGAAATCTAGGGCTCTAATAAAAAAAAAAACATCTCTTTTTCCTTAACTCAAAAATACAGTGTCCAGTTGAAATATTTTTTATTAGGATATTTATGTACAATCCTTTCAAAATAATCTTAATTTGTATTTAATTGATCAATTAATTCTTTTATGTAATTTTTCATATCGATTTTATTAGAAACTTGTTTTTTTGTTTAGGCTCCAATAAAATATTTTTCATTATTAGGATATAATACAGATAGGCCTACTATACTTTCAAAATTATCTTAATTTGTATTTAATTAATTGATTAATATTTTTATGTACTTTTTTCACATTACTATTGAAAACGTGTTGCTTGCTGTGGTAAAAATTTTGTAGAAATACTTGATCCCTTCGAGACCTATTAAGCCCATTTTGTGGATCAATATTTAGAAAAAAACAATTAAAACAACATACTGTAAAGTAAGGCCTGCTATAACAATACAAAAATATTAACCCTTTTACCGAATGACCAGTTGAACTATTATAAACACAATACACTGAAGGTAATGATATGGGAGAGATATACTGTACAAGGAAATGTGTCGCTCTTATACATTTGAAGTCAACAGATTGGAATAAGGAAGGAAGTGATCCCTATGAATATAAGCATCCGCTATCATTCCGTAACATATTGTCTTGAAGTAATCCACAAAATCTCAACTTTAAATTGCGGATGTCATAAATCACCAAATGTTACATTGTTTGACTTTTTTTTTTGGCTGCATATCCATAAAAAGAAGACATTAACATTTATAATTATGACAACTTTGTAAACTCTTTGTCAAGTGATTTACCTGAAGGCCAGACTTTTTTTATGCCTTGTTTCATGGACTTATTTTTTTAAAGATTGTCTGAGGAGGGTGAACAAAAAAATAAAAGTCAAATTTTGTTTTCTTATTTAGCAAATAGTTTTGCCCAAAACATCAAAATAGGGGACAAAATAAAAATAAAATGTTGTTGGTGAATGTAGTAAACAGTGTAGTAATGGGATGGTTAAATGCTTTAAATTTATATAATTTTTGGAGATTTCAAGGCGGGCATAATATAAATAAAGAAAAACTTTTTTTTTCTGAAATATCCATTTTTCGTGGCGACGGGTGTGCTAATTAGCCAGAAATAATATTTTATTTTTATTCAAGATCATCATTACTGGTGGGCGGGCAGGTTCACTAAACAAGCTATAAAAAAAGTCTCTTTCACATGACTTCATTTCCATCAAATTACTACTAGTCCACATCTAATATAAAAGGAAGTGCATTATAGGCCTACTGTGGGGTTACTGTTTGATCAACTTTAATTAGCTGTATGATGATACCATGGAGAATTATTAATGATTTGATAACTGCCTCATGTATTGGCCTTCATAGGCCTATTATTTCCGTTTATAACCACTCTTTACGACTCAATAGAAAAATGCAGGTTCATCACAACTGCAAAAATATTAGGAATGAAGATGTTCCATTATACACAATAATGAACATATATATATATATATATATATAAATCATCAAAGAAAGATAAATACAGTGTTCGATTAAAGGACATAATAATACATCGTGTAGCATAGCTCTCAACGAATGAATGTCTAAAACATTATTAGACCAGGGGTGGGCATAAACATTTTCATGGTTGAACACATTCAAATGCCACCAGATACACTCCATTACACAATAGGTACGGCTTCAACCGTGAAGCCTCTGTGGTCTAATGGTTATGACCTGTCTCTTATACACATCTAGATGTGTATAAGAGACAGGGGATATCGTATGCGATCATATTCATCATAACCATCATCATCTTCATCAACAATCAATATAATGATAATGATGATGGTGATGATGATGAAAAGAAGGTGATAATGATGATAATGATTATTATGATAGTGATGAAGATGGAGAGGATGGGGTGATGGTGATGAAGATGATGAAGGTGGTGATGATGGTAAGCCTAATGATGATGAAGATGACGGAAGGTTGGTGATGATGATAATGATCTGATAATGGTATAGTATTAATATTGATAATGATGAATGAAATATGAATACAATTGTGAGAAGTCATGATAATTTTCCTCCTATCACTAACACCCATTGAAAATGAAAACATAATTCTTAATACAACCTTATTCAGGGATTTGGAATATCGTAACCTAGGTACAGTAGATACTTCAAATTATCGTAATGAGGCCTAATTTTCGATTAAAAAGAACAAGTATAAATATGGGAAATGTTCATCTTACCTGGCTCATGTTCTCCTGGATTGTCGGTAATTTCTATCGTCCACAAGTCGGTTTCTTTGACGCTTTTACCTGGACTATAAACCCGTGTTATATCAGGACATTCGGCGGCCGTTTCATCTAGCACCCTTTTCAGAGCTTTGGCATCATGATGTTCCCATGTATAATCATTACCGGGGAAACCATCAACAAAAAACCATAATGCGGATAGAAATAAAACCAGCAATTTCATATCTCACAGGTAAGCTCACGTCCTCCTCGTCTTTCCGAATATTTTGTATGTAAACTATTGTCGAGAATTCTTGTTTAAATCTTGACTAAATCTGGTTTTTAGGTTATGATGTCTTGCTCTGTTCCGACTCGTTGAATTTCAATTCCCCCTTCTTTTGTATGAAATTTTCACCTGAATGATTTTTTACACTGTTCATCAGCTCCTTACAAAATTCAGACTGTACCATTGTCAAATAAGGTTTGCCAGTCGTTCTGTGTATGTTGATACTAGTATGACGTCAGTGAACGTTTCACGACGCGTATTATTATAATTTGATGATAATTAATTTGGTTATTATTAATACATCCCACGAACAGGCAGTTTACGGATTAAAGTTCAATGCAATGCATGACAGCAGGCTATGGACGAAGCGTTCTTATGCTAATTGTATACCTGTTTTATCATACCGTTGTATGCATTTAATATCGAAGAGTTCAATATTAATGGGAAATAACGTCACTGCCGACAACCACGCGTACGGACGACGTTCATTTTCTTAGACGGCAACCATAACCATATGCAAAATAATTTATGGGATGATTAAATTCAATATAATATTACTTTTTTCTTTCTTTAGTTACTCATCGCGGTCGACGAAGCATTTACCCGAGTGTATCGTAATGGGAGTGGAGCCAAAACACTGATAAGTGTGATATAAACAAATACATATCGATCGATATTATTTATGAGTAGGCCTACTATTGCGTATTTCCGTATTCTACTGTGGTAATTATTATTTACATAGATCAAAAAGAAAATAAAATAGTGCATGGTTGTTTAAACATCATAGTATTCGCAACACCTTTTTTTTTTTTAAAGAACCAGTAAAATTTTGCTCAGACTCAGTGTTCTTATTTTTTTGGCAGAATTCAGGCTCAAAATGTTCTTTTTTTTCCTAAATTTTATAAATTTTTCTAAAATAGAAAATTAATTGTACAGCAGTATATTAATGTACTCCATTTTAGAGGGTATTATAGTAACACCTATTGCACATAAGCACAGATAAGATTTGTTTTTTTAAATATAGAACCTCATTTGACATTTTGCCTTAGCCTCAATTTGTTCTTATTTTGTTCTTAATTTTTAGGCAATTTTAGCCTCAGCGTTCCTATAAAAAAGGGTATCATCATACAGAATACAAGTATTATAAGGTGAAATCAGAAAGATTGCCTCCAAAGATAGGCCTACGCATTTTAATTATGTGTTGATAGAATCCCACTATTTGTATTCTTCGCATAATGATTGCAATAATTGTTAAATGTAATAGGCAATAATACTGAATGTCTCACAGTACATTACCAGTAACACATTTATTTTAGGGGTGGAGGCCTCGCAGTTCAAGTCATTGTGTCTTTGGACAACACTTTGTCATGTCTCTCTCCACAGGATTATGATAGTGGTGCCTACTTAGGTAGGATCTATTGCCAAGTGCCGATTCTAGCGCCTTATGAAAGGGAGCTGTAGGCCTACCATCAGGTGTTTGGTCCAGTGACTGAGGGTAATAATAAAGCGCTTATAGAGGCTAGTTTACTGCAACATGCGATATAAAAGTCGCATTATCATTATAGGCCTATTATTATTACCGTATTTGTTCATTTCACAAAGAATTTAATGTCGATTGTTTTATATCCATTTTGAAAGTCAATGGCTAATAAATTTTCTCTGGAAAGCTAAACCATTTGGTAAAATTACATTATTACATTAAACTTATGCCCACGAAATGACTGGAATAAGTACCGAGAGAATGTGCGATTGTAATATAAGATGGCGTTATTCAAAATCCGGAAAGCTGTAAGGGAAGTCCCTTCAATATCTCTGAGACGTGGTGTGTCGGATATTTATTTTCATTTCACACCGTATCTGTTAAGATGTATCCCTTACTAATGTAAAAAAAAATCCATAAAAAATTATTTGAAATAAACTTGCACATATTGCAATAGCATACACATTTCTAACTTGTGCATACAAATTATTGAATTTAAAAATTGTGTACCCTGAGTTTAAAACCAAAAAAATTATAATAAAAATAATAAAACACTTCCATGTGACTGGAAGTGTTTCTATCATTTTTCGATGTAAACTGATGGGTAGACATTTTTTGAATACACTGTTTTCAAGTTGATAACTTTTATGTTACAGTACTTCAAAATGGGCAAGAAGTAAAAAGAATAAATATTTTTATGATTTTTTTTTGTATTTAGCATGGGACAATACATCTTTAAGTCCCATTCTTCTATACTTATTGGGGACCTCATTTCCAACATCTGTACAACCATTCTCGCAATCCGGTATCGTTTTAAAACTCCCGATGTTTCAACACTAACGTACATCCTTAAAGTCATTATAATCTCATTTTATACCTTACCTTAATTAATGTAATCTCGCTAGGGGAAATACTAGTTTCATACTATTTGAACCCTCCATGTTCATATTAAAAGTATCCTTATCCAAAAGCAAGTCACGCGCCTGATCTCTTTTCTAAATTACAACTGCTTAATATTTTATATGATTTGTATTATTTTAATGTTGGTCGCTTTATGTAAAACTATAAAACTAGTAGTTTTCCTCAGTCCGCCTTCAGTTGACAACACATTTCACAAGAACTTTAAATCCACTGCAGTCTCAACTAAACAGTCTTCACTTCCACTATCCACTTCCACGCACACAACCGCTCGTTCACACACTTCCTTTCTTACCCAACATTCTGGAACTCTTTATCACCACGAATAAATGTCTTAAATGGCTGTAATTCATACCTTTACTCGTAATAAATAAATAAATAAATAATATAAAATAAAATTCTTATCACCTTACATGAAATTAATTCTTTCCATTCATATTAACCTGTGCATGAGTACATCGGGACCGACTCTCGTAAGAGCGTCCCTAAATAAATAGGTGTTCCGGCGAGAAATCGTATCCATAATGTTTTGCCTTAATGACACCTTGATTATTTTATTTTTACGTAAAAAAAAACGGCCATAGATACATTCAGGAGGATATTAGCCGGATTTTATTGACTTCCCATGTTATTTGAAAATTCTTTTATGACCAATAATGCTCCCCCTGCTGCCACGTTCCCGAAAGAGCTTATAAATCATACTTGAATGTCTTTGACTCAGTACATGTCTTTGAACAAGGTGTTTTAAAATACCTTGGTATTTTACTGGAAAACTTACATTACTGGAAAATTGTAGGTAATTTTGTTTACAGAACTTAAAAAATACTGTAGGCCTATATATTGAGATTTTACTAGTGTTTTGTGAGAAAAATTCTATCTTTTATTATAGAGGGCGCTCGACATTCCAATTACTACTAGCTCTTTCAGTTTGCTTTGCTACTTAGGAACTCTGCTGGCTTCGTCCGTCCTCAACGACGTTGCATGAAAAGCTGAGGCTAGGTTGTTTTACAGCAACAATATTCACGTAGGTTTTACTTGTATGTCTGAAATTTCATTATTAAAAGTGTGTCTATGTGTGCCTTAGATTTTGTTGATGCCTATGGTTTCTGTTTCCTTAAATGATAAGGAAGTGGTTGGAAATGAATGTGGATTTTGAGGAGCCCATCCCATTTCTGACAGTTTCCGTGAGATATCAATCCCGGTGCGCACTGCTGGTTCACCAAATCGCCAGCCAGGCCCCTGATCAATTTTAGTTCAGTATAATTAATCAAGTACAGTAGGCTAGCCCAACTCTGCTGTAATTCCACCTGAATGTTTACATACATGATACTGTAATTTAATAATTCTAACATTGTTATGTTAATATGGCGGATCGTTGATCTCAATATCTTAATAAAAATCATATAATAAAAAACTGTGATCATTTTTGTTTCAAGGTGTCAGGACTGTGAATTTGACAGCAATGTAGGCCTGCCTTAGCTTAGATCTGTTCAGTTCAGTTCAGTTCAACTTTATTTATCCACGGAGGCCCAGATCAACACAGGGTTGTTCTACAAATATATTGCGATTTAAAGCTTGCATATCTAAAAGTGTTTTCCATTTAAGTTGGTTTCTGACTTCTATGCTGGATGTATCCCAAGATGCCCCACAAATTATTCTTCCTGCTCTATTTTGGATTAATTTAATTTAGGTCGTAGCCTCTAGCTAGGCCAGGCCCTCTACTAATTTAAGGCCTGTTTACACTATTACGATAACGATCAACTATAAAAAGCTATGAAGCAGTTGTTCAGAAGAAGTTTTCACACTAGGCCCTAGCATGATTTGTTCACAAATGAAATCAAATGACGTCATAATCATGTGAAAACGATAAATTCGTTTTACTACTACGCAGGCCCGTAACCGGGGGAGGGGGATCGGACGACCCGCACACAGTATAGGGAGTACAGCACAAAACGCAACCTTGTTGTCACTATTTTCATAATCTTTCATAAATCACTATCGATTCTACCATCATTACTTAAAGTAACATAGTAAGTAGTTTATTACATGTGTGCCTTGGCCTTCTAATCCTATGGCATGCACTGTAGTTTTTATGTGCGACTATACTCAAAAGACGTTCTGCACAGTAAAGGAAGATGATGATGATGCTGTATATGATATGATCCTGTCTGTAGACTTCTACATTTGATCTACTAACAATATGGCATGGTATAGCCTACTGCCAATTCTTAAATATTTGCACATATCAAATCGATTCAGTTTTAATTCACGAAAATGGTATTTCCTTTGAAAGCAGCTCAAACACACCAGAAGAGCATTTTGAATTAAAGGTGGCGGTCATGGTTTTCAACATTTTTCGAAAGAACCCCTGGACCCCAAAAGTTCCACTCAGATTGAAAAAGATCCCCCCCTCCCATTACCAAAGCTGGTTACGGGCCTGCAACGATTTTATCATTTACCCATGATGATTATGATGTCATTGGATTTGATTTGAGAAATTATTTTCTTATTGTATACACGATAAATCCTTATTGAATTGTTATTATTATTTTTTTTATTGAACAATTGCTTTTTAGCTTTTTATTGTTGATTGTTATCGTCATAGTGTAAAGAGAAACTAGTTGTAGTTAATTATACAGTTGGAAGTGTCATGCTGTATCGTAAGCACTCTTGACAACTACACACGGTAGCGTGAAAGTCATACAATAAGTGTTTTTCCTACGGCCTTGCAAACATTTGTAAAGTAATCACACATTTCTTTACTGCATGCATAAGCTCATGGAATGCTACAAAATATATTTACTAAAAATGAAATGATTAGCATAGCGATAAATTTTTGTAATATCATTGATGTCCCGTGCAAGTGTATAGTGTTTAAACGTATACGGTCATCTAGAGGTGCCACACTTTTCTCACACTCAGCCATATCCATAATGCCTAACCTAAACTTCTGTCTTTAACTTTCACTCACTTTTATTTATACTTTATACAGTCAATAAAGTGCGCCCTCTCTAATGAGATTACTTTTTGTACTTCGCATCTCGTACAATGCGGTCGTTCGGTTAGGCTGAGATTTGTTTGTTTAAGTGTCAAAATCTCAGTCAGAATTAGTTTTTTAACAAATTTGAAATAATTCCTGTGAAATATTATATTCACAAGTGTCAATACTAGCAACGGAAAATATCATGTCGGCCGTTTTTATGTGTGATAACAGAACCTAAATTGAGGTAAGGCTAGGCCTAGCCTAGCAGCATTGTATAGGCTAATGTTTTCGGCGCCTACGATATTTCTTCTCACGACCTATCGCAAAATCAACATGAAAAATTCATCCGCATTTATTTTTTATGTGGAACACAAAAAAATCAAATTTCAGTCTTATTTTACATTTTTTTTCATTCTTATGAATGTCTAAATTCATTTAAACTAGCAATTCCGTATTATGTTTATAAATCTTTATAACATTATACAAAAATTAGATTTTTCTTAAAAACTGAAATTTTGCCGGGAATGGGGCTATAATGCATGTCGGAAGAATATCTGGTGGTTTTTTGGTTTTTTTTTTGTACGGAAATTGGTGGTTTATTGACACAATTTTAAATTCATGCAAAATTAGCAATATTTTATACTGTAGAGGTAATATGTGCTATAATAAATGTAATTTTTAATAATTGTTTCATTAATTATTATTTTAAAAATGTGTCTACTACAGTACTGTAATTTTTCAGTTTAAATGTCTGGATATAGGCCTACCTGATTTTAAAATATTCTGATTCTAAAGTTGGAGATATTACTGTACCATTGAAAATTGTACTTGCTAATCAATGTCTTGTTGATAAGCTTCAATTTGTAATCAAAGGTGAACGATTTTGCCAAGTACAGTGACTTTCAGAATTCAGGTTGGTAATAGGACATTAGGTACTCGGCCATTTGTACTTTTGAGCGAAGACAGTTAGGAGGAATCACTGAATGAAAGTTATGCTGAATAAATAAAAGAACGCAATAAAATATGCAGTTATCCGTATGGAGTGTTCGCCAGCTTCCCCGGTGAGGATTTAAATCTATCATTACCTGAACCTGAACTTGATCGATTCCTAGGTCTAGGCCTACAGTAGGCCGGTTTTATGCTAGCCTTTAAATGGAAGATAAGTCCTTGTATTCGAAGAAGAGCATACAAGCGATCCAGAGAGATACAGCTACGTGTTGTATAAAACAATTAATGAATGTTTCTTATACGTACAGCGGGGTAGAATATTTCATTCTGTGAAAGATTGGATGTTTTATTCAACTCGTCTATGCCTCATTGAATAGAAAAATCAATCTTTTACCGAAACATGCCTCGTTGAATAGAACATTCAGTCTTTCACCAAATGAAATTTTCTACTCCATTGCACTCATGAACATTCTGTATACTATCACACCATGTATGTTTAGTTGGTAAGTTGTGTAACCACAGGGCTAAAATTTATGGTTACAGTATCAAAATGATTGTTGGTGTAATCATCCTTTTGGAGCACTTTTTTAAGACAGTGATTTAGTTCACTTTTAAAGCTAAATACTCAGGCCCTGATTTATTTTACTGTATCTTATTCATGTTTCAAGTGTTTCGTGTTTTTAAGTTAACTGTTGTGTTTTTATTGTTTGCGGCTGGAAATAAACAAAAATAAAATAAACATATTTAAAAGAATTTGTACTCCTTTGTAAAAAAAAAAAAAAATACAGTATTATATTTTTGTCAAAAGCAATCTTTTTGTTTTAGAGGCTGGTCAGCCAGTATTCAAGCATCTTCCTATATTGCAGCTACAGAATCAATCTTTGAAAGTTGAATATTTTTTTTTAGAACATGACCTTTCAAGAAACTGATCAAATATCAAGTATTTGTATTATACAAATCTTGTAATCTTGATGCTTTAATTAAACATACACTTCTCTACTAGGATAATTATTTTGGATAATGTATCGGAATTAGTCTACAAAAAAAAAATAGTTTAAAACAAATCCAGATAGATTTTTTTCAAACTTTTTGGGTACTCGTTTACCGGTAGTTACATCGGTCCCAAATCTCCCACACCTCTCAGAAATTTCCGGGAAATTGGGACGCTCTCTCGCACTGACGCAAGCAAGTACAGTATCTCTGACTGGAAAATAACCCATTTTCACCAAATTCATAATTATAGTATTTGCATATTTTTACTGCTTTATTATCAATTGCTTCATGAAAAGTCAGTGCTGATGGGTATCACTATTAGTAACTGTATGTGCAGCAAAATGAAAAGAAAGCACATTTAATCAGATCACCCAGAATTGACTGCTCCCAACTTGCACATATTACCTCAACAAAAACAGTACTGTGTGGTTAAAGTCAATGTTGATTTCTTGAAAACTATACTTATGACCTATGATGTTACTTTTTGTATTAACATTGAATCATACAGTATTTCTATAAACTAGCATTGTGCTTATTAATTATTCAATTGTTTTGAAGTGCAAACACATTTATAACATAAATAATACATTAAATCTATTTTTGTACCTTAAATTCTGGTTTCAGTTTCATATTTATTTCAATTGTATTCTACTCTGTCTACTGTATATTGTTATCAATTAGTAATAGAATACATTAATGAAAATAGTACTAGTTTCAATTTCTGATGAATTCCTATACTTAGTGAGGCACACAAATACATTGTTTAGAGGAATTCTAAAGCAAATAAAGACAATGAAGGGTTTATCATCTCCATGACCTTTTTTTACCCTCTAGAATTAATATCTAGGAATTGTCTCGCAGTAGTTGATAAAATCAGGGCTATAATCGGTGTACAGTAAGTGCGAAAAATCTACAATTTTAATGTTTTACCTTTGTCCTTCGAGACCAGGCTCATTTGTCCCTCTGTAAACCTTAGAATCCTCATTTGATACATACGGGCAGAACTTTAGATTTGTACCCTACATGACACCATGCCCATAGCCAGGTTCTTTCAAGGGGGGAGTTTTACGGGCGTGGGGTCTGGGGTCGAAGCTCTGGTGGGGTCGGCAAAACACTTAAAGCCTGAGGATTTTTGTGTTTTATGTGTCTCAATAATGCTATAAAAGCAGTTAAGTTTAAAAACGGTTTGCAGAAAAACATTCTGTCAGGGTCTAGGTTGGTGGATCGGTGGGTTGGAGGACACATTTGGGAAATTCGAGCGGGAGAAGTTTGCCAGAAAAGAGGGGGTTTGCAAGAAAAGGGGAGTTTGCCCGAACCTTAAAAACCCCCTGGCTACAGGCCTGAACACTTAAACATGTAACAGGGCCTGGTCTTCAATTCTTTCTTCTTCAAATTCGCTTTCTAGTGGCTCAAATTGATAAAGCTGCTCCATTTCTTTGCTTCCTTCAGTACTTCCCAATTGAATCTCTTTCATATGTCGCGCTATACGATGTGTGTATTACATTGTTGATTGTTATACCGAGTCTACGTCATCAGCTCTACTCACACTTCAGTGAACATCTCCAGTGGGCGGGGCTTATACTAATATTTTAAAGCGTCATTTTTAATATTTATAAACCAAAAATTAAATTTTTTATTACAATCATTTTTTAAACATATGTAATACTTCAATAATCACCAACATAAAAAGCATAATTTTAATTGGACTTTAAAAGTTTTACCCAGAGATGAGCAACCAACATCAGACACTGTCAAAAATATTTGGTACTTTTGCAATGTTCAGTTTTTGCTTCAAATATTAATGTAATACTTTTTATACTTACTTTTAATTCATTACCATGTATTTAATCTTTACTTTTACTTTTTTTAAGATTTAACTTTTAGAAAAAGCAATTTGGAATTAAAATGAGTTATCCACCACCTGGACCTGGAGGTTATGGTTATCCTGGGCAAGGCTATCCACCTGGAGGTGGGGCTTATCCACCAGGTGGAGGTGGGGCTTATCCACCAGGTGGTGCCTATCCACCACAAGGCGGTGCAGCTTATCCTGTAAGTTTTCAGTATTGTTATAATGTACTGTATCATTCATTGATCAAATACTGTATATTCGGATAAAAAGCCACATTTGAATAATCTCCCTTGTTCCTCTAGAGCTTCATTTGGAATAAATGCCTCCCTCGCATAAACGCCCCAAGGAATTTATCTGTTTTTCCCGAATGAATGTCCCTCAAAAAGGCAGCACCATTCTCAACACATTCTATTAATTTTCTGCTCCATTAGAATTACCTTTTTTCTATTCCTGGTTGAGATCAGTAAGTCTTTAACACGTTAACTGTCAAGCCTTTTTTGCAGTTCCATCCCATATGCCAATGCATGAAAGGCGCCACCATAATGAAAATTGTTTCCATCAACTTTAGTGAAACAAGAAAAAAACATACAGTGGTTATTATTAGATCATTAATTCTTTGTAACACGTTAACTGTCAAACCTTTTTCCTAGTTCCATCATTCCTGATGATGATGTAATTGATGTCGAAATATTGAATCCCAACACGATGGTGTGCATTCCGATACTTGGAGTATGTATTATACTATCTTACCTGAGATTAATTAGTGGACCTTTCGGCCATCCCATACTCCAAATGCATAAAGGTTGCCGCCATAATGAAAACGTTTCCATCAACTTTAGTGAAACACAAACATACAGTGGTTATTTTAAGATCATTAATTCTTGGGCATTCCCAGAACCTCCAGGGCGAGTGTTCTTGTTGAAGTTGGTGTCATTGATTAAAAATGAAGTTCTGATAAAGAATTTTGCTCAATTTGTTTATCTTACTAGCCTGGAGGAGCTGCGTACCCACCACAGCCAGGTTATGGAGCAGGTCCACCCCCATCAAGTGGACCGCCACCACCACCAGGTCAAAGCTGGGGTGGCTATCCAGGAGGAGTAGGTTAGAAGAATACCGTATTATATTGAGAATTGTTTGCTTTATTTTTCACACATGGAATGTTTGCATTAATTGATATATAATATTTCTACTGGAGGTTTAATACCATTGAATTAATTAGGGTTATTATTAGGGCTATGTTGCATATTTGAAAACTGACTGATTTATTATACTTGATAAATGTACAGTATAATAATAATGTAGAATAAATTTTATCCATATATTGAATTTTTAAAAGGATGACATCTTGATTTCTGAGACATTCACAGCTTTCCAATTTCACAATATATATTATAATTTTCTTATATTTTGCCGTACTCTCTTGTCTTTTTCACTGACAGTTCCACCCCCTCAATCTGTTCCCGGTTTCACTGCTCCTGCACCAGGAGGCTACCCCCCACAGCCTGGATATGGCCAGCCACCAGCTCCAGGATACGGGCAGCCCCCAGCATATGGCCAGCCCCCTCCAGCCGGTTATGGAGCTCCTCCAGCAGCTGGCTACCCTCAACCAGGATACGGGCAACAACCACCTGCCCAAGGGTATGGACAACCACCACCACAACAGGGGTATGGACAGCAGATGCCACCTGCTCCAGCTAATGTATACAGCCAGCCGCCGGTCCAACAGCCAGGTGAGAACAGAGACTACACTGTAATTTTCACATTAAAGGCCTCCCTCCAATTGAAGATGCCTTTTGTGACCAGGGTTTTCATAGTCCAGCTGTTTTGGTCTTTAATTACTGTACAATAATAATTATAATTATGATATAGATGAAAGATGTATGTCCATTTGGGGTAGCAGTAGCAGAAAACTGACCCTTAGTTAGAGGTAGTCTTTAATTGGAGGGGGTCTTTAATTAGAGGTAACCTATTTTTATTGCCATTTGGCTTTATATGAAATTCATTCATAGTAAAATCGCATTGATTGATCACGTTGATTGATTATTCGATCTATTTATTTTTAGTAATTAATGAAAGAAATATGAGTTTATAAAATTTGTATTATTATGTATAATACAGCCCCAGCGGCCTATCAACAGCCTCCTGCAGACAACCCAAGACCTCAGGTAAAAGATATTTACTTTCTAGAAATACTGGTACAATTTTTTTTTCCAGTCACAACAGATCTTCCTATGTTTGTTGCATGTTATTTTTAGTATAATAGAATTGTAATTTTCTAAGAATAACTATTGTCAGAATTATTTGCTACTATTCCATTCTTATGTGTCAGCTTTATGTGATTTGCAATTGCAGTAAAATCAAACTTTTAATAATGATATTGAAGGGTCTAAAGTTGGAAGAAGTTATTTCTGGGAGATCTGTTCAAACAAGCGTTCATTAAAAGATAATACAGCAGTAATATAATACTGTAGTAAAAACATGTAGATTTAATGAATTTGTGGGAAATGGGTTATTTTCTGGATTTCCGGGATAACCTCCTCGTCTTATGGGAGACTAAAGCCAGTCACCCACTGTTCTGTATGATGGTTGTGCGACCATCGTACGATGACCCCTAACTCCGCAATCTGAGAGTGCTAGACGACATGACGTTGTCTGCTGATTGCCGATCGCAACCTGAACGGATCGTCATTAAAGACAATCCGTAGAGCGTGCGTCGTAATGTTGCATTTATGTAGAGAGCAGCTTAGCTCAGTTGGCTAAACTGGTGGTAGCCACTCTGTGCACTGAACCGTGGAGATCTCTATGTCTCCGGTTCAATTCCCATCGCTGCCTCTCCTTGTGTTTCAGCTGGAGGGCTGAAATACAAGTTGCGATAGTGCACTGTCTTTCGGATGAGACGTTATGCCGTTGGTCCTGTGTGCAGTATGGCCCATGTGCACGTTAAAGAACGCAGTACATTCTTTGGAAAAGAGTAGGGATTGTCTCCAGGTGTACCACCAGAAGGACCCCACTGGAAACAAGTCTTCGGACTTTAGTGTGATTCACACCAAAAAACTCCTGCTCCTATCCTCCTATAATGCCAGAGCGTTTGACAGTTTTACATTATCATAAAAAACAAAATAAAAGGATCCTAAAACATCTTTACTTTTGTTTTACTAGGCTCCAGCTCCAGTCACTGAGCCTGTGCATAAGCAAATGGAGAAGCTTTCCATGGGAGAACAACCCTTCCAATCTCATGGCACAGTAAGGCCAGCTCATCCATTTGATGCAGAGAAAGATTGTGATTTGATGCGTAAGGCTATGAGAGGAGCAGGTAAGTTTTAACACTGGGTTCAAAATTTGCAAGACACTTTTACTTAATACTGCTGTGTGGAGAGTGACAACCATAGGTGATGTGTCTAGCGGAAGTACAATAAAAACTCACAGCCAAGGTTCAAACCTTGACCTCAAGTTTTAAAGTTCAAATCCCAACAACTCAACTGTTCCACTCCTATGCAAACAGTAAGCTATTTTCTGCATGGTGAGTCTGGGTTATTTATTGTTTAAAATTGTAAAGTAATATTAGGTTGAACAGTTTTTGAGATAGGGGAAGAGTTTGTGAAACACAGAAGTGCTGTGATTGACTGGGTGAATAGTTTTTAGGACGTGGTTAGCATTTTATGACAATATAGTGTATTATAAATGCTCAATTTGCCGAACTTTTCATTCTGGTGAAGCGGTTGACCATGATGGGCTTTACAATACATTAAGAGAGCAAAGTGGACTGATACACTTTTAAGTCAAACAATTGTTTTTGAAGTCAAGTGAAATATGAACCGTTGTGTCAAATGAATGAAGTCAACAATTGATCTTAAGGTGAAATAACCGACTATGAAGTCAAATACTCAACCGTTATGTGAAGTGGTCTATTGTGAAGTCAAATGCAGGGGTCCTAAATCTCTCGGAACTTTCAGAAGTTTCCCGGAAATTTGTATGGTCTGCCGCACTCCCACAAAAATCTCCCGGAAGTTCACTTACTGTATCTCCCGCAAATTCAGTAAAAAACAAATCTTTTTTTTTTATTCATGCCTAAACTTTGGTTGCCAATTATTTTTTGCATTCTGACAGTGCCATTTCCAGGCTTCTAAAGGTGCCTATTCTAAAAGAATGTCATCACTTCAGCCCCAATCATGGTGGGCCTGAGGTGGGCGTGGCCCTTCGTTTGGTACCTAAACTTTTTCCTGATGGAATATATTGCGCCCCTAATGTCATTAATTGGAAATAGATTCTTCCAACTTGGGACCCCCTGCTAATGATCAATCGTGAAGTCAACAGACGGCTAAGCAGTCAAACAAGTGGACATTAAATGAATTGATACACTGTGAAGTGAAACAAAACACTGTTCATGGAAATTTGGAAGTAAAACTTTTGTCTTAAAACTTACAACCCATCCACACAATACAACGATGATCATATAGACAGTTAATAAGTTTGTCTGTTTTTCTGTATAATACTGTCATGACTTTAGAACCGGGTTCGGGCCTGGTTTTGCGGTTGGATGCAAGATGCAACTGATGAAGGATGCTGTGAATAAATTTACTGACTGTAGCACGAGTCGGTCAAACAGAGAACAAGGTGTTGTAACAATTTTAAAGTAAATTACATAGAATACAATAAGGTGCTTGTAAAGACCAAACCTGTATGCTAATTATTAAAATAGTGCCCCTTATTTATCATCCTACATAGTGCATGTGTGTGCGTAGTAGCATCGATACAGCAAAGCCTGCTTAAATCGTACACGTGTGTGGTATCTTATGTCTTGAAGAAGTTTGATTTTAGTATGCTCAACTCCATTATTAATTATAAGGATAATGTAAATTAGACAATTTAGTACATGCATTATAATTTTTTGATTTTGGAAACCTGTAAAAACAAGAGAGACTTCCCACTGAATCGCGCATTAAACTGGCTACCTCTATTCATTTTTTTTGGCGTAAATGCTGTCCCTATATAGGTGAATCTATTCGCGTGAATTGCGATTTTCAACTACAAAATTCCTTACTGCGCATGCTTATAAAAAAAAAAAATGGCAAATTGAAGTGAATGTATTTGCCTCAGAAAACAGCAAGGGTTCATAATTGCCATTAATTACTACCACTAATAGGACACATAAATGGCGTGGTCAGTTAACGCTGTGTTGTAAGGAACCTAGGTCGTGAGTTGTTCCATGTTTTATTTTTTTTTGTATAAATTAACATTCTAAGATACTTGAGACCTGTTTGACAAAAAAAAATTGGAAGAGCGAAGAAGATAAATAAAGAATGTTTATTAATTTGTACAAATTGAGAAAATAATGAAAATTAAATGCAAAGATGCAATTTGAACTTCAGACATTTTCTTCCTTAGAACACATCCATGCAACATGTCCTATTAATTGTAATGTAATGTACAGTCCTTGCTGAAACCCCCGTTTTGTTGGCGTATGGGGCACCCTGGAGTCCAACTTAAAAATAGGAAACCACCTCTAGTTTACTGTATGTGTACAAAATTTCCTGCACGTCCGTTCAAAACTGGCGACGCTGGACGCTTTTAAAGTTCTGGTAACAAGAACAACAACAATTTAGAGTGAGGTTCAGAAGTCCATCTGCGCGGACCTAATCATACTCATTGGTACTAGTCCTCGGGCGTTGTAGAGACTGAGGATCTGATATAATTATATTATCTCATATAGGGAAGATTGCAGAACCAGCTATCGAGAAAGGCTTCTCCTATCTAAAGAAAGGTATGTGACTAATTATTCATGTTAAATTTTATTGTATTTTTTTTAAATATCGTGACTGTAGTATAAGCACTTGACTACATAGAGGTCTGCTCCATCCAAACTAGACAGCCTGCACTTAAGCATTGGAGTCTGTACACAAGACATGTAGTAACATATGAAACAAATACCAACATATGTGCCTACATACTAGATATGAGCACCATAATTTTCGCATTTTGTCAAGGAATTCAATGATTTACCTTGAAAGTCAACTTAAGTTGAAAGTCAACTAGAACTAAGGCTTTAAAAGATTTTGGAATTTGCTTCAATTGCTCTCTCGTTTGTTTCTTTTTTCATTATGAAAGCCTGGCTACATTGCGATCCTTATTCTAACTAAATTATAATAAACATTTTTTATCATTTTATTGTTATCTACTTATCTTTTTATTAGGTCTATTGTACTTTGTATATGTATTTTAAAGTGTTGTTTATATGATGATTGTATATATGTTTTATAAAAATACTCTTATGTTTATATTATATTTGAATTTGTGATATAGAATTATAATTGTTTCCATGATATTTTATATTATTCATCATTGTCATGAGGGGAGCCCCTCAACATTAGATCAATCTACTACTTTTATGGCAATTCTTCCACATGACAACGATACTTTTATGTGACAATGCTATCTTTCAGTTGTAGATAATGAAGGGAAAACTGAACTGACTGATAATAGTGTGAATGATGGAATGTTGGAGACAGATAATACCCATTGCAGTTTTATTTGCCAAGAGGAAGCTGGACTGACAGAAAATACTGTGAAAGATGAAGAGTTAAAGACAACTGATGTCCATTGCGGTTTTAATTACCAACAGGAAACTGGTCCAACTTACAATATTGAGGAAGATAAAGATTTACAAACAAATCTCAATTGCTGTCCTTATAAGGAAGAGGAAACTGAACCTACTCATGATGTGGATGATATTGATGATGATGATTTTGATTATGATTGTGATTATGATGATGATGATTATGATGATGATGATGATTATGATGATGATTAGAGGAAGGAAGATTGTACACTATCACATTCGATTAATACTATAAACTTCATGTTTCATGTTTGAAGCTATGGATCTTTCCGTAGTGTTACAGTGCTAGGGATACATATTTGTTCCATAACAAACATGCTGTCCCATATGCTTACCTGTCATCTTAGCAATAATACGGAGCTTTCGATTTGTTAGGCGACGTTAGAACGGAATCACTGACGCATGACCATCCTAATGGGCGTCATACGTTCCCTGCATACATAGATTTGGCCAGATTGCATCCTAGAATCCACGCGGCATGGAGAACATAATGTTGTTGCATGCACAGTGACTCTCAGTGATGTCATTAAGTTCTGCATCCTACCATCGTCGTGTAATCGATAGCTCCTTAATATCGTAAAGGGAAAAGATTTATGGGAAGGTCCATTGATTGATGTGCTAAATCATTGCCATATCGGCCCATTTTTCATACAGCAAACTATATTTCATTGCGCTCCCCCATGAATTTGAATGAATAAACGTCTTTCTGAATACAATGGTGTCTTTCTACTAATTTTTTGTGCGTACACATTTTATATACATAGTTATTTTTTGCTCATATTCATAAGAAATTGAATAAATGCTTCTGCTATCGTCTACATACATCTCCATATCAGAATTTTGCTTGCTGTTCATTATATTTTATTATGTTTTTCTTGCAATTAAGTGAATAAATATTGTTTTGTCAACAATACAATGGTTTCGTTGTACTTATTTCTTGTTTGGTTGCAAACATTTTATAGTATTTTGACTATTAAAAAATTTAAAAGCAATTGAATTAATGATGCTATGTACTATCTAAACTTCAAACTCTCATTTATATATGTGCAAGAATTATTGTAGTATATAGATTCCCTAAATGTTTAAGCAATTAAATAAATGCTCTTGCTACCACTTACACTTTTAAAAAACATAAATTTTTCATATCTTCCTATTCTGCTGACTGTCAGTTATATTTTATTATATTTCTCTTGCATTTAAATGAATGTTTCTCATTGGCTGCAAATGTTTAAATTACATTAAAATATATTAAATATATAACTACCTGTATATATTATATATAAACTCTCTATATAAACTTGCTCATGTTTAAAACAGTTGAATGAATTGTCTATTGCTATCATCTACACTTTAAATAAAAATATGCATTTTTGTATCTTCCAAACATTGTTTACTGTCAATCATATATATTATATTTACCACCTTGTTTTATCCATGGTATATCTAAATTGCTTAGTGTGTTTTGTGTACTTAATCTTTTTTAACCAATATATGAATAATAAATTCTAGTGCTGTCAGCAGCACTTTAAAAGTTTAATATTTAAGATAATTATGTGCCTTTTTATATACTGAATTTGAATTTAACATGCAATTGCAAAATCATTTACTAGTCAAATATATACTTTTAATAAATAAACTTTTATAAATACAGAACACCTATAATATTTTCAAATCAATGATGCACACTGATACATATACCACAGTGGGATCCTCTCTCAGTATATATTTATATTCAGGTTCAGAATACTATAATGTTTGTTTTTTTATTCAGGAATAAGCTCGTTCTTCAATCTTAAAATAATACATTTTGTTATATTGTATAATTTTATGCAAAAAATATATTACAATAATTATTGTGTAGAATCTTTTATTTTGAATCATTTTATATTCTTTTAAGGATTACAATTGAGTAATTAAAATGATTTTATACTTTTATATGAATTAAAATAAGATAATAATATGAACAATATAAATAAAGTAATAAAATAATAATATAAATGATATTTTATTTATTTTATATTCTAAAAAAAATTCAGTCCTAGATTAAAGTATATTATATGTATGCGTATCTCTTTCTTAATATGTTCTGTCTTCTTTCAACATTACGCATTCCACAATTTGTTTCCATTGTTTTCCGTTCAAGTCAGGATGGTTTGTTGCAGTGTTTGTTTTACATGTCCTATATCTTTTTGAATTTCTGATTCAGCCTACAGGCCATTTTTACAGTAATTTTCGTTTAAGTCTTTCATTGTTTTTTTGACAGGCATTTCATCTGGTAATCTAATAATACAGTATGTCCATAAACATACATGGGTGTGCCAATAAATAAATTACAATGATTATTTTTTATTTGTGTATTCAGAAAATAAGATTGCAGGTTTTTAACTATTTTTATATCCATACATCATCTGAATGTGTTTTTCTTGTTTCACTTTATTCAGGAAGTATTGTTAACATTCAATTTGGCTTACAAAATTGCAATAAGAATATAATGATTGATTTGATTTAAAATAACATTCAGTTCAGAATGTTGTTATAATTTTGGTTACTGTAAATTCTATTTGAATCAATAAACATGTTTTAACATTACAATTGGTTTCTATATTAGTTTTGTATTACATGTTAAGTGCTAAGATCAAGGAAATGATGATGAGGAGTGAGATATTCATTTATTCATCCATCCATTTCCATCTATCTTTGTATCTTGTTCTATAAAAACATATATAGTGACAAAATAGAATTCCTTCGCAGCCAATGGCTTAATTGCGGAAATTTTTTACGTAAAACTTTACAGTCGTTTCTTTTCTTCAATGTTGCTCATTTCACTTCGCAGTCAACTCTTTGACCTCACAGTCGATCATGTGACCCTCTTGGCTGAAATGAAATAGGATCGTTTCACTTCTGGTCATTCATTTTGACCTCACAGTGGATCCTTTCTCATCATCTTCAAATGTTTGACTTCACAGTCGATCATTTTCTTCGTGGTTGCTCATACTTCACAATGGGCCATTTCACTTCACAGATGATCATTTCACTTCACATTGAAACATTTCACTTCATGGTGTTCCACATCATATAAGTATTGGTTGGATAGTCTGACTTTGGATTAATTTTTGTGTGATCTGCATTGATAATGAATGAGTTTGATATGTTTGTGTATATTAATTATTTCATCAGTGGTTTGTGAGATGGTCTATCCAAAGCTTATCTTTTAAAATGTTGCGCACCTTCAAGTAATTCTTACTAGTGCTATGACTTCCTTTGGTCACCTTTTCTTCCAGCAGTACCCTTAAAACAAAGTTTTTTTTTTCTTATAAATATTTTATTAGGTACTGATGAGCAGGCCCTTATTAACTTGATTGTATCCCGGAGCAATGACCAACGGCAACAAATTAAGCTGTACTATAAGACCATGTATGGCAAGGTATGTGATGTATAATGAATTATGGCAATTTTATATTATACAATAATTATATGTATTTATTTTTTAATATATAAATTTTATTTATTAGCCTCCCCAAAGGAGCGAAGCCCCAGTGAGGGTATTGTTTTTGCCCATATTTTTCTTCATGTTGTTGTCGTTGTCGTTGTTGTTTGGTCAATTGTTTGTTACCACGGTAACTAAAGTTTGGTAAGTCTTATTGGTTTCAAACTTGGCAGAATGCAATAAGAATCCGGAGCCTATTGTTTTTGGAATGTGTGTGAATATGCAAATTGCTCACTTACATAATTAATATTTCACTAATCAGGTAATTTTGGCTAATTACCATGATAACCAAAGTTTGATAAGTTAGAATGCAAGATGGTAATAAGACAGAGCCTATTGTTTTTAGTACGTGTGTGAATATGTTAATTGCTAATTTTGCAAAATTAATAGTTCACGAATCAGATAGTTTATGGTGGATACAATAACTAATTGGTAATTCCAATTAGTTTCAAACGTGGCAGAATAGTAATAAGAAGACAGCCTATGTTTTTGTCAAAAGTCAACATCTTTGACAAATTTTGATTTTAATGTTTGAATACACAACTAATAAAATTGTCACATCTCTGGATCCATTTACCCTAGGAAAGCCAGCAGGGGTGGGTGCCAGGGCCCCCTGTCTGGGAGAGCTTCCACCGTCTGGGAGAAAAACCACAATTCATTGGGGAGGGAAAAAAATTGTATTTGTATTTTCTACATATATTACTCTAAAATCGAAATAATAATATTAAGCCTTTGAAACCCCTAAAATGTCATAATTTTGGGGGCTTCGCCCTTGGGACACTTTCAAGAGATTTTGGGTGTGACGGCCGACCACACCCACTTTTTTGTCGGGGACATCGGACACCCGATGGGAAAATCCTGGCGCCACCTCTGACACAACCTTTCCATAAACTCAGTTGTTTCCAACCATGAGACTCATTTTGTGGTGAGAACTCTAATACTATACCTTTGAAGCAGCCTCACATCTAACTTTAAGCACCCTTTACTATCTCTCTCCCTCTCAGGATCTTATCAAGGATCTTAAGTCAGAATTAAGTGGTAATCTGGAAGAAACCATGCTAGGATTGTTTATGGCTCCAGCATACTATGATGCCTATAACCTGCGAAGATCTATGAAAGTAAGTACACTTTTTTTTATATTTCTAAGTGTAATCTAAAGCTCTTTCTAGACTCAGGGGTGTATCCAGGATTTTTTCGGGGTGGGTTGTGATCATAATTTTTTGGACCTTTTCAGTGGGAGACAGGAAAATCAGTTACAGCGCCACCAGCTTGAAGCGGATGGCAGGCTCAGTTCCAGAATTGCTGGAATTGAGATAGATTACGTCACGCAATTGGCAAGGTTTTTGGACTCACTGCTGGTACCTCATCAATGCTTTTTCATTTGTCATTGTGAAAAGGCCGTACAAAAAAATGTCTTTGGAAGAAATGTGGACCTTTCAAAATTTGAGTTGGGGGGAGGGTCGTACAACCTTTCCGATCTCCCCCCCCCCCCCTTGGAGACAGGCATACACCCATGAGTCTCAGATGTTCTTTGAAAAAAAAACTATTATATGCCCATGTGCAGTATAATCATAAATGTGCTTATATATGGTTGTTATGTGATGTAGTCATGACCATATATAGGCATGTCACATGTTTGTGTCAAATAAAATTTGACACATGTGACATATTTGGTCAGGATGACATCACATCATGACCATATATGGGCATACAAACAGTTTTTTGTCAAAGAGTCTAGACAACTTTAGACAAGTATTCAAATATTGCACCATATCCCCACAGTTGCTGGCAATACTTTTTGCATTCGTGTTGCACACATTTTCCTTATGGACAATGTCCATGTGCTGACAATTTATTTTTATGTTTTCGCAATGATGGAATAAGCCATTTTTTTTACAAAGGGTATTGAGGTGGCTATAATAGTCTGTATTTATTTTCATACACTGTACAGTAACAGTGACTTTACAGATTGTTGCTGCTGCTGCTGCTATTATTGTTTTATATTGTTACTGTAAATATACATTATTAATATTATTATTTCAATAATTATTATTATATTATTATTTATTCATTATTACTACTAATGGTTGGTTTTTTGCAGGGTGCTGGGACTGATGAACAGACACTGATTGAAATACTTTGTACTAGAACAAATGAACAGATAAGAAACATCAAAACAGAATACAAAACTAGTAAGTCAACTCAAATTCTGATTAAGTTAGTTTATAGTCTTTTTGTGGATTTATTTTTAAACAATATTTTGACTGTGTAATACATGTGAATAATAAATAAGGCATTGACATGGAATGCTCATTATTTCTGTCTTTCAGTGTACAAGAGAAATCTTGAAAAGGATTGTGTTAGTGAGACCAGCGGCCACTTTAAGCGTCTGCTTGTGTCGATGTGTCAGGTAAGTTGATTCTTGCTATCCAGTCAGTAAACACATCACATATAATAGATTAGGTATATCCCGAACTAAAATTAAAGACACTCGCACAAGATATTTATTTTATTTTCTATTCATATTTGTGCTATTCTATAGGAGTTACAAGCACCTTTTTGCTATTCGTTGAATAAGAGCTAGTGGACCTTCCTGCTTAGTCCCTTACCTTGGGTGTTGTTGTGAAGGTCGCACAAAACAATAGCATGAATGTACGTACCTTAAATGCTCGAATATGCGGCGCTTTTTAAATTTTTTTATGCATCAGTGCGGCGCTTTCCATGCCGTTCCCAAGTTACCTGTTTCATGTATTCCCATAGTTCTGTAGGCCTATCATAGGTCCTACTTCTACTTTATCGTAAATAATTGTTTATAAACAAATGCGTGTGTCTTCATTGCGTTATTTATTCACTGTATACATTGTATTTAAAACCCTGTTTCTCAGAGTGTTTCTTATACGTTTGATTAACCGCTGCAGCGCTTATTTAACAGCGGTGCTTATTCGAGAACGGCGCTTATTCAGGCATTTACGGTAAACATGTATGTTTGTTGGATGTCATAATATAGCTGGCATCTATTATACATTATGAAATAAAAGTAATATTTGAAATATCATGTATACATTTTTTAATGCAGGCAAATCGTGATGAAACCAATACAGTTGACATGGAGAAAGCAAAGAAAGAGGCCAATGACTTGTACCAGGCGGGTGAGAAGAAGTGGGGAACAGATGAGTCGCGCTTCAATGTTATCTTGGCCACGCGTAACTTTGCACAGCTACGCGCTACCTTCAATGAATACACAAAGGTATGCGTAATTAACAGAAGATATTGGTGATATTGAACATTAATGTTATCTGTTTCCTCCCATATTAAGCTGAATTTTGGCAGTTTTTTTTTTTTTTATTCTTTCAGTCTTTTTTAGTGATTTAGTTTCACTCGTGAAGTGAGACAGGAGATAAAACATAAAATTCTGTACACTAATATATATTTCCTATCCAAATAATTTTCTGGAGGTGATAGCTTGCAAAATAACCTGAATGAGTATTGATTTCAATCTTAGCAAAATGTGGGATGACATTAAGATGGAGTCTACTAAAAACTAACTCATAAAGTGAATAATTTTTGGTCATTTTATTTTTTTTTCATAGATTTCTCAGCGGGATATTTTGAACTCAATTGATAGGGAGATGTCTGGGGATATTCGAGATGGCTTCAAAGCAATAGGTATATATATTACTTTAATATCATTGTAAATATTAAATAACATTTTGAGGTGATCTGCAGATTATATAATGCATTATATAAATCAAGGTGGGCAAAGTGCGGCCTGTGGGCCTCATGTGGCCATACGGCAATTCTGTTATGGTCCATGTCAATCATGTGTGCGGTCCGCCTACCATCTTTGGCTAAAAAAAAACAAAAAAAACACTTTGATTTAACTGTCTGACATTAATCATCTGTAAAATTAATATTAAAACAGTTTAGAACAATGATTTATTGACGAAATACCTCAAATAAATCATAACAGACACAAATTATCACGATTCCTACATAAAAATCACATTGTTTTTGTATACCGTAATTCGAAGCAGGGACCCGCAAAGTTAACCAATGGAACTATAGAAATCACTACCTTGTCGGATTAAGGCTAGTCATGCTGGACCGCATTCCCTTCGTTTTTTTACTCACTTTTAATTTAGAAATTTCAGTTGCAATATGTGGTTAAGGAGTTTTCTGTTTAAGAATGTTTTTTTTTTAATTGTTCTACAGTTCAGTGTGTTAAAAGTCGACCAGCTTTCTTTGCTGACCGTTTGTACAAGTCAATGAAAGGCGCTGGAACAGACGACAGTACCCTCATCAGGATTGTGATCAGCCGTTCTGAGGTAGGCCTAGGTTCAAATTTAATCCAACCATTTCATGCTCCCAAAAGCCCTGTCCAGACTATCAAATTCAATTTGACAAAATCATATGAAACGCCTAAATGTGGTCATGATGACACCACATCAAGACCAGTGGCGGCTCTAGGATATAATTTATGGGGGGGGCTTAAGATGTCCGACTGGGGTGCTAAGTATTTATGGGTGTAACTATAGCGCGCACCGGTATTTGATGGCCGAAGGCCCGAGCCAGTGGTAGGTATGGGACGGGGTGTCCCCTCCTCCAAAACAAGATTTAAAAAAAAGAAAATTGGGACTTCTAGATGGCCGGAAATTGCTAGGATGGGAAAGCTAGGCCTATTTTTTGTTTCAAGAGCATCACTTCCACCCTCAAGTGTTGATCATTTGCTATTGTTGTATTGTATTGGGTTGGATATTTCCAGTGGGGTGAATTTGGCAGTATATTAGGAACCAGTCCCCTACTCTTTCATAAGGAGTGTACCGTGTTCAGATTGGCCAAATTACATATGAGAGCAATCCAAAAGAGGATGTGCTAAATTGAAACTTGCATTTCAGCCCTCCAGCCAATTAAACACAAGAAGAGTAGCTATGTGAAGTGAACCGAGGATCAAGATTGTATAAAGATTCCCATGGTTCAGCGCACACAGTGGCTACCACCAGTTTAGCTGACTCAGCTAAGCTGCTTTCTGTATGTAATAATAATAAGAATAATGATAATAATAATAGTAATAATAATAGCATGTTAGACTTATGTAGTGCTTAATGCCAACTAAGGTTTCAAGCACCACACATTATTCACATTACAACACTCCTTGGTGGAGAGAGACAACCATAGGCAAAGTCTTTGCCGAAAGGCAAAGCAAGAGATTGAACCTTTGCTGTGCCAAACTGATCCTATATCTTATTAAATGAGAATAAAATAAAAAAATATACTTAAAAAATGAAAAATTGATCTTCCAGATTGATCTTGTCGAGGTGAAAGCAGCATTCCTTCAAAAGTATCATAAGACCTTATTCAAGTTCATCGAGGGTGATTGCAGCGGTGACTATCGCAAACTACTACAGGCAATCGTGGGGATGAACTAGTCGTCCAAAGGCGCTCAGATTTACTTGGACACCAACGTTGTGCTAGTGTACTATTGACACTTTACTGCATCCAGAACCAACTGTCCATTGTCCAGAAAAAAAAAACTTGATTGTAATTTTTTACAATTTAGTTGTTCACTTAGCAATTATGAGTGTCATAATAATGAGTAATTGTGTTTCTTTTACATTTGTATCAAGTATAAAATTATATCTATACATATTTTAATAGTATTACTATGGATGGTTTATAGCTTTCATTTTTACATTTTTGCAGAATGTTTCAAATATATATGTCCAAATTTTATTGTCAAAATCCAATTAATTCTTAATAATACTCTTAAAATAAATTTTATTTTGTATATTTATTTTTATTTTAAATAACATATGTTAATTCTTTTTATTCTGTTGGTATATTTATTGGTATAGTCCGATTGAAACACTTAGTTCTACTAATATTTCCTGTTTCACAAATCTGGGTATTGTGAATATTGGTGATAGCTGCCATATATAGACAATAATGCTTTAATGTTTGTAAAATCATGTAGTTTATTATGATAAAAATATATAAAAATTCATATTGATATAGATATTATAGAAATACATAGCTAACAGTACAGTGTGTGCAATTTATAATTCTAATAATGTGACATAGGTTCTTATCTTGATGGAATTGATGGAATATAATTAATTTATCATTGTTTGGACTGCTATTGTTAGTATAAATTTATTTGAATCTTAAACATCGATTGAAAAAATCGCATAAGAAAGAGACTTTATTAATTGCTTAATTAATCCAATCTTAATGACTACTTTTCTGTATGGTGTTTTCAGATGCTGTTCATACCTTTGACTAAAATAATTTAATTTTGGGCCATTTTTAAAAATTAATAAAGATAATAGAATTGTACTGCTTATAAATGAAGACAATGGTTAATGGTCATTATCACATATTTCATTGAAGTTCAAATATTCTTTACAAACATTTTTAGGAAATTTCATTTTATGGTACTAATACGAACAACAATTTTCATATTTATTTTTATGAGTCTACCAAAACAAAAGAATTATATGTAAATTTAAGATGGAATGAATTTCAACCGAAAGGTCCACTGATTAATCTCAGATTAGATAGTATGATACATACTCTAAGTATCGAAATGCACACCATCATGTTGGGATTTAATATTTTTGACATTAATTCCTGATGATGACAATTGAATGAATTTCAGTTTTAAACAAATCAAAATTTCACCCAACTGGAAATGCTTGAAGCAAGGTAGTATAAATCACCTCGTATCAAACTATATACACCACTGTTGGAACAAAAACAAAAAAACAAAAGCCTAATGAAATAAAATGCCTGTTTATTGGGTTGACTTTGAGAGTATAGTAACAATTGTATTTTATCAACTTTACATTTAAAAGTACAGTATTTTCAAGTCTGAAAGTGCCATTTCTGGCCATCCAGAGGTCCTTATATTTAAAAAAAAATCTCATTAAAGAGATAAGAGGCCCTCTCCCAAACCATTCCCCGGCACGGTCACAAGGCCTTCAGATGACGCCAAAGTTATCCTTATCTCACTCAGACCCCTTGTCTGACAGCTTCACCCTCCCAACCCCAGAAAATATATCCTACAGCTGCCACTCTCCCTATAGTAAATGCGAAACCAAAGCTAGAACCAAACCAAGCAGCCTTGGAAGGATTGTGATACTTTTGTTAGACAAGTACCCCATAATTTTATGACCATTTATTTGCATAATTAAACATGATTTGTATGATTAAAGACAAGGAGGGAGATTTTTGTATATCAAATATAAATGTAAGAATATATGAAACATTCCAAATGAAATGAATTTCAAAATAGATAACAAAGGGAAAATACTAAAATTTATATATTCATATAATTTGCTATTGGCAAATATTATTTTGATTAGATGCTGATTTAAAAACTAAACCATTTTATTTCTTTTTAATGTTTACACACAAGTATAAATAACATTATCACTAAATGTTTTTGAGGGTTACGCTTTCACAATATATAACTTATTGCAGTGGACTCAAGTCCACTGCGAGTGGCAGTCTCCGAAATTAAGACGGCCTCCTACCCTCCCGCAAGAAATTCATAATTATGTTTGAAAATAACTCATCTCTAGCAAATTCATTATATTTACATGTTTTGATTATTAATTGTCTCCTGGATGCTAGCTACTAGTGATGGTTGTCACCTTGCGCAGTGAAATATAGGCTATGTTCTCGCACGACAGCTAATGGTTAGCCGGATCCAGATCTTGGTAACCGTTAGCTGCCGTGTGTCCATACGAGAAAATCCCGATCCGGATACCAAGAATATGATGATCGAATCACTGGCCAATAAGAAACTGGAAATTGTAAACTTGTATGTGTGATTGGTTGATGATAGAAACGCGTTCAACTTGCTAACTGATAGCGCTTGCTAACCGTTAGGGTTATCCGGATACCGCTAACGGTTAACGCTAACCAATCAGGCTTTCTCACACAGGTGCTAACGGTTAGCTCCCGATCCGGATATTAGGTCTCTCGTGAGAACCAGGCTATAGTAAAAAAGTGTTCAAAATACCCGTTCAACCAAACATCCAGGAAATGGCTCCTTGCAACTTGGGACTCCTGTAATTGTGAATCTTCTTGACATTTTATTTGCATATCATATATTTGACCCTAAACTTGCAAATAAATTATACAAATGTGAAAAATGCAATCATTGTTATTAACTAAAAATATATGTTTTTTTATGAGCCAGGTATATTGTGACCAATGAATTTGTTGTTTGTAAGCAAATTTGTTTATGCTAAAAAAACAAGTCTTGTTTTATTTTCAGAAATCACTAGCGGTAATAAACAATCTATGTAGAAAGAAGTGTGATTGTTTATTTTATTCATTGCTTTTATATTTGTGGCAAATACAAGCCAAACCAGTCACTTTTTGCAAAAATCATTTTTTAATTATTAATACAGGGTTGAACAGTGAAATGTGTTCTATAACATAATAAAAGAATCGTCTAACATTTTGTTATGAAGTCACAGGATTTTAAACATATACAGTAGCTGTTTATGGAGCAATATTTGAGAAATCGGCTTAAAAGTCCACGATTTCAGGCATTTCTTGGGCAGGGACCATCGCCAAATCATCAAAAATTGCTGTTTTAACATTGAAAGGAAAATAACAATAGCATGATGTATAGATATATAATGGTTTAGTGCAATAAAATAGATTTGAAAAATTTTTGAAATTCCAGCATGTTTAGGCTATTATCTCTGAAACATGATTTGCGACTAGCGACTGGTTTGGCTTGTTTTTGCCACATTTTCACATTTTCAAGTAACAATACACAACATCAATATTGTAAAATAATGACAATCAGTGCGACAGGATCATCATTAGAAGACGATTGGTTATCTTTATTGAGTGCAAACAAACCCCCGTGACAACCATTGGTGCAGTGGGTGACTGGCTTAAAAAGTGTATATCATAATGCACTTCAACACAACAGAAATTCTTAAACAATTTCATGTGGTTCCATAGAGTATAATAGGAAAATTAGCTTTTTCGGTTTGATAATTATAGGTGCTTTACCTTCGCAAAATTTTCAGCAACTAGTGGGTTCAACAAACAAAATTATTTTCATATAAAAGAAAATATAATTTAAAAAAATTAATAATCATTCACTCACATTCATTCATCAATAACGTAAATTGTTATTGATGAATGAATGCAATGAGTGAATAAATGATTATTAATTATTATTTATCCATTTACTCATTCATTCATTCATCAATAACATAAATTGTATGAATTTTTAAATTAAAAAAAAAATCATTTCATTTCATTTATTTTATTCCGGAAAAAATAAAAATAATAATAATATTAATAATAATAATAATAATAATAATAATAATAATAATAATAAATAAATAAATAACAATAATAATAATAATAATAATAATAATAATAATAATAATAATAATAATAATAATAATAATAATAATATTTAATAATAACAATTAACAATAATGATATTGAAAGAACAATATGATCAAATAGTCCATGATTTTTCTTTTCATTTATCCATTCCTTATATACATTCCTTTGTCCAGTATAATTTCCATTGTCAAATGCTATATTGTTCATTATTATTTTCAATTTCTTCATTACTTTGCACGTTCTCTGCTTCACTGATCTTTTGACAGTGTTGATTGATATGATACGGTTGAAGACACACACTGACCTTGTTTTCACCTTCACCCTGGGCATTCATTCTACCGCGAAAATGGCAGCATGTTGTTGTTCAAAGTCCAAGCTTGCAGTTAGTCGAATGCTGCTCTTTCAAAGTCAAAGTCTAAAGCGTTTTCTAATAAGGTAATGTTAAAGCGTCATAAAGAACCCGTCTTATAATATTATACAATGTCCTAATTTCTAGGCCTAGACTTCACCGATATAAATATTAAATTATTGTCCTGTTCTTGCCTACCCTAGGCCCTAGAGGCTAGGCTAGGTAGGTTAGGGCCTAGAGGCTAGGCTAGGTAGGGAGGCCTAGTCTAGGATAGGTAGGAATGAGGCCTAGCTAGGCCTGGTGGTGAAAAGGGTAAAATAAAAAAGGCAGGCCTTTTGTAGCCACAATTGTGTCTAACCTAGGTTGCTAATGCACTTTAGTACTCCACCCTAACCTTAAAACTCAACTCCAGTCTTGCTATCTTAATGTTGATGTTAGAGTAAGGGTGGAGTACTAAAGTGCATTAGCGACTAGCCTAGGCCTAGACCTATTCTCAGGACTTTTTTTAGGCCTAGGCCTATACCTTGTTTATTAGCCAATTCCCCCCCCCCCCCCCGCCAATAATGATGATTTCAGTCAGTAAAATTTTCTTTTTGGCCAATTTGTGTATCCGCCGCCACGAAAAAAAATAGAAATTTAAAAAAAAAAGTTTTTTTTTAACAATTTTTATTACGCCTACCTTTTCCTTGAAATCTCCAAAACTAAGGAAAAAATATTTTTCTACTAGCCTATTCTATGTAATATTTTTTCCTAATATAACCATCCCATTACTACATTGTTTTATTACATTCATCAATAAAATTTTATTTTTATTTTCTCCTCCGTCTGGATGTTTTTTTCAGAACCATTTGTTATTCAGAAAACAAAATTTAAATTATTATATTTTTCCACCCTCTGAGAAGAAATTAAGTTCAGGAATTAAAAAAGTCTTGCCTTAGCTGGACCATGGCTGGACTATACCCTAAAGCTTAGCTCTTTCGATTCAACTGACAGACATCAACTAGTAGCCAGTAGGGCTCAGGACGACTTTCCATGCAAAGTTTTCCTTGACCTATGTCTTAATTTACAATCAATATTTATGCAGTAGTTACAATTCTGCGCACCTATTTTCCTAGCGATTTTCGGCGCAAATCAAAAGTCTAATTTTTCCCCCGTGCAAATTAAGGTTACAGTAGTTTACATTGTAGATGTCTGTTTTATAATGAGGCCGAGGCCAGTTTCTTTTTTAGTGATGCTAATTACTACCATTCAGGTAGAGTCAACTGAGTACCACTCATCACCTTGCAAAGTGAGCCAACTAATCTTATTTTTTGAAGAAGAGGAAAGAAGAAGAAGGTGCCAAGGCCTAAAACCAGAAGAAAATGTACAACTCACCATCTTTTCATTTCAAATGAAGCTGAACATTTCTTGCAAACTTGCATTCTTCCCCTTCACACTGGAATGTACATAGACCTATATTTAATATATATTTATAACATGAAATTTATTATAAATGAAACTTTAATTTTATTATTCAACATATTTATTCACGATACATGTTCAATGAAAGTAAATGTACAATAGTAAAATTGACAGAGCATACTTAAATTGATCTACCATTATGGTCCTGATTTTTGATCAACTGATATCCGGAGAGCTTGACAGTGAACTTGTTTATTTTCTGCAATCCTGTCTGGTATCAACTGAGGTTGTGTTGGTATACTTTGTAACATGTTTACTTTCTTTGTATTATGTGAATGGCAAAATAAATTATATGATTTATGATATCATGGGATATATCTGGTAATGGCTAGTATGTACAGTATAATAAAATGTGCTCAACGCTAGAATACTTTACATATAAATTGTGATTGTGAACATTTTTTTGCAGATCACCTGCTATATTACTAAAATGTCAGTTGAGCACAGGAGTGCCACCTAAGAGGCCAGGTAACAGTTACATTCAGTTTAGCAAAGATACCAGACCAAATTTGACAGCAGAAAATCCAGGTCAGTTGTATTAACTTGAGGCAGTGGCTATTGTTACACCAGTCTTAAATCAATTCCTAATTGTGATTGGATGTTATTATTTATAAATTGGATTAGGACCGTAACATGCAGATTTAGGAATTCTTATACTTTAAAGTTAGGAGAATAGCCCATAATTTGTAGCGTCATTATGCTGAATTGTGTATTGGCATTGTCCGTGACTGCCTATAAATATAGTAGCTACACATGGTCACCTCGACAGGGACTGAAAGGAACCATAGCCTTGAGATAACCCCATACTTTTCCGAAACATGCAGTGGGTTCTTTAAAGCGCGTGTAAGCCAGATGTGTACACTAGACATCCATTTTAAGTTATTACTCGAGAAGACGTGGTTCTACCATCCAAAACTTGGACAAAGGCAGGCTTGTACCAGCGCCACTGTTAAGGCTGCTCATCCACTCAACTTTGTATTCATTTCTAATCATCATTTTAGCCAACAGTTAGATACACAGGTAGATTTGTATTTAAAATTCAATTATGATTTGATTATTTTAATAGATAAACCTGTGTCAGAAATATCAAAATTAATAGCAGAATTGTGGAGAGAACTTCCAGCAGAAGAGAAAGATGTAAGTTACATTTGTTATATTATAGGATTTAGTAACTTGGAGCACAAAAATAGCACAAAATTTGAATTGCTAACAAATGTAAGGTTTTGCCAGAGCCGGTCTTCTAAACTTTATAGTAATTGTTGGCTATTTGTTATTTATGCCTAAATTGAAAATATATTTTTTAAAATCTGAAGCAAATAGTTATAATGATATGTTAAGTTTTGAATATCATAGAATTTTTTTTTCTTAGATTATCATCATTTTCATCACAAACGCTAAATGTTTTGTAACATAGAGCATTTAACGGGCCTCCTCCAAATGGGGAGATCATTACTCAGTATGTGACCTATTTATTTTTCTATTTACTTATTCAATTATTTATTAGGTTATTTTTGTTTCCTTATATTTATGTATTTTACTTGGTTATTTTTGCAGCAATATGTAAGGAAAGCAAAGATGCTAGAAGAAAAATACCAAAATGAACTGAAGGAATTTGAATCATCAATATCCGATGTAGAATTAGATGAAATAAAAGAAGAAAAAAAACTAAAGCGCGTAAAAAGAGCTAAAAGGAGGGAAAAGACGGTGAGTAAATAAGTATTAGTTTAAATATATTCTTAGTAGATAAGGCCAAAAAAAAAATGTTTGTTTGCCCTCCTCATCCGCCCCTAACTCTCTGAAAAAAATAGGGGCGGAAAAAAAAAAATTAAAAAAAATTTGAGTGAATTTATCTTTATTTTTTGCCAGATACCCTACAAATTAGTCTAAAGTTGTTGTCTGATGTAAGATATTGCCATTCTAGGCCTCTGTGGGTTATTTTTATTCCATCTGTTGAGTATTTAAAAAAAAAAAAAATTTTATCATTTAAAAAAAAAGAACGGCAAACAATTATTTTTTTAAGCCTAATATATAGTTACCTTCACAATTAACATTTTAACATGATTGCAGCCAAGGACACGAGTTCACGTCCGACAGGGTTGACCTAGGACACCAAGGATACGAGTTCACATCCACACCTTTCTAAACATATCACTATTGTATTGCATGTTGGCAGTGTTCGCCAGAATGTATATTCTCAGCCTGGAGTCGCAGGACAGAACTCGGAAGTAAATAAATGCTGTAGGTTTGTTTGGGTGTTATTGAAGTTGATGGGAATGATTTTTCCACTATGGTGGAATGAAACTAGCAGTCAATGTGTTAAGCAGGAATCAGATAAATATAATATGTTAATGCTAAATAATACAAAGTATTGTATTATCAGTTGTTTCAGCCCTTTAAAGTTTTTTTTGAAATGTACCCCACATTTTGTATGTACATTATATTGTATGTTGTATTTTTATTTTATCTTTTTTTTTGCACTTGATTTGTGTTTAGTTAGTGCGTTTGTTGTTTATTTTTACATGCTACATTTTTTTGATATAGAAGACCACATGATTGTCATCTTTTGCTTTTTTTTTTTTGGGTTACCCTCATTAATCATTGTTCTATGAATTTCTTATTCTTTTGCTCTTTTCCTCTCATTTCAGTTGTTAAGAAAGTTGGATAAACCAAAAAAGGCAAGACAAGCATTTTCATATTATGTCATGAGCCGAGCATCAGAGTTTAGCGGATTTAGCAAGGTAGATAAGAGTATTGGTTACTGCCCTCTCAAAGGCAGTGAAGCTTTTGGAAGATTATTTTTCTTCTTCATTGGTGTTAGTTAACTATAAAAGGATAAAAGAAATGCTTACCTATGCTATGCTTTTACTGCAAATGGTAGTGGTTATAGTAAGATAGCATTATTGTGGATGTAATCTGTATAATGTAAATTTTTCATATAACAGTATATATACTTAATAGTTAGCCTCGAGAATATTTTGCTAAATAATTTGGTAAATATAATTACAGAAAATCACCCAATTAAGAACCTCCCAATTATGACCTGGAATTGTGGTGATGACGTCATTACTAAGGATCATTTTAACTACAAAAACACTTAAAATTGTGTTTTTTTAAAGTTTTCAAAAAGAGATGTTACTGTATTACCAAATTCAAACCAAATAGGTGCTGGTAGTCTTGAATAAAATTCCAAAACAAATGGAGCTTAAATACTAAAAGTAAAAAACATCCACTCTTTCAACAATGATTTCAAATGGGACTTGTAACTGCTGCCTCACTATTGCATTATGATTAATGAAGGAATTTTAAAACATATCTCTTTGAGACCGACATACTGCAGTAATTTCTGTTTATCTTCTTATATTATAAATAAGTATCTTCTGCAAACAATTTGAAATGATAAAAAAGTATTGATGGTTTTAGTAAATCATTTATATAAGTACAGTAAAGAACCGCTGCAAGCACTGATCCTTGAAGGACACTGCTGTCAATAATTAACTTATTAAAGATGTAATGGGTAAACTGCACCCTAATTATACTTAGAAAGCTGAAGTAAAGGTGCACTTTTTACCCGTAATGTGGTAACTTTTTGAATTTTTTAAAGAAAATTTTGTTGTTATGCAAGATGTTATAGTAATTTTTGATTTCTTGACTATCTAGAGGCACAATTAAATACTGAGTTTGGTTGGTTTTCTAGTGGATGCCCGTGATGTATGTATCTGCACCACCATTGCCCTGAAATTTCTTGTGAAGAGCACTCCTAGTTTGATTGCTTCCACATTTTAATGTGTGTATATTGTCATTAGAATATGTATTTATGACATTGTGTTTGATAAACCATTTAAACCCATTGAGAGAATATAGGGAAGCTCTCAAACATATTTTTTTTCTTTAAGACGAGACTTCTTTTATACGTTGTTTAGCGAACCCACCGACTGCAAATATTGATGATTTCGAGTAAAAAGAAAATTTTATTTTTGCACGATTAGCACACCCACGCCATGAAAAAGTTGAAATTTCAGATAAAAAATAAAAGTTTTTCTTTATTTTTATTCCGCCCTCCACTGCCTTGAAATCGACAAAGAAAAATTTCTTCCTAATTATATAAATTTGAAGCATTTAGCCATACTATTTCACATTTATTAATGAAATTTTATTTTTATTTTCTCCTCCGTCTGGATGATTTTAGCAAAGCTATTTGCTAAATAAGAAAACAAAGTTATATTTTTATTTTTATTCCGCCCTCCTCCAATAATCTTTCAAAAAATAAGTACACGAAACAAGGAATAAAAAAAAGTCTCTTCTAAACCATATATGGAGCTTTCTATTTCAAAAACAGCATCATTGACAAAAAACAAAAAAAAAATTGACTTTTTACATTATCTCCACAATATAAGCTTTAAAATTATAGGTATACTGGAATCGACTTATTATTGCCAAAGTTATTACAGCTTTACTGTACTAAAGCATACAATACTGTCATATTCTTTAATATGTTAATTACATTTAGCGACAGTTCGCTAATTTTGTGACCCTTCCAACATATCCTATTCAGGGCCCTCCTAAATAAATGAAAGAATGTGATGCAAAGTCTCATTAAGTTGCATAGGGATGGACATGTTTTTTTAACATGCTATATAATTCAAATTTGTAATTTATTTATTTTATTTTATTTTTCTGGAAAAACAAGTTATGTTTATGATGCAAATTCTAGTGTTCTTACCCCTCCCTTGATTTTTAATCTTTCAATTGAGCCTCCCTACCATTGCATACACACCCACATCTTTATTATTCACGCTTCAGTTACTCCCTCCACTGTATTCTTTCCACTATTTTCAAATTTCAGGTACAGGAGATTTAGTTACAGTCCACTGCATGTTTGTGCAGATTTAAGTGGTGTTTAATAGCTTAGTGGTTGAGATGCTTGCCTTCTAATCCCAGGGTCATGGGTTCAATTCCTGTAACAGCAGAACTTTTTCTCACAACTAAAAACAACCCCACTCTCTCAGCCACATAAAGAGATTTTGTTGATAAAAGCATCCCATTTCTTCATTTAATTAAGAGGTTCCCTGAATATCTCTATAAATATGGTTAAACAAAATTAATTCTTCTTTGTTATGCCTTTTTCTTTATGGTTTAATGTTTAATAACATTGTTTTTCAGGATTTAATGGTAAAGTTAAGTGAAGATTGGAACTCCATGACAGAAGAGGAGAAAGCAGTAAGTATAAGCCACCCTCTAAACAGACAACAAAAGTCCTCAAAAATGTTTTTTTTTCTCCGTACTTGGTGAGCAAAAAATAAGAGAAAATACTCAACCTCAAGTCATCCCACGTCTTAATAACTAGCTTCCCTTCTGTTCCATCCTTACTTTGTCATTGCACTACCTCATCACCACCATGTTAATACCCCTAGGTACACCTGTGCTTGATGTTTTGTACTGTAAATCATACAGCCTGGTGGGTGTTAACATGGTGTTGCCTATGACTGTTTTCTTTTTCAGGTCTTCAAACAAAGAGCAAAGGAGGATGGAAAGAGGTATGAGGTAGAGATGGAAGAATGGGAAGATCGAATGGTGATGGAGGGCCATCCAGAACTCCTAAGAAAAGTCTCCATGCAGAAACTGATGAAGAGAACTGAGGGTGATGTGGATGAAGAGGAGGAAGACTAATAACACTGATCATCTTGAAAACTTTGCTAAGAGTGTGCTACCATCAATCAACACAGGGAAGTAGATGACCTCATATGGAAGGGATTTGCCATATTTTTAGCGCAGTATGGCCTACTACAAAGAAGTTCCATTTGGTGCTTCCTTATGTAAGATAGAAATTGAATGTGACAGCAATTTCGTAAATGATTTGTGTCTATTGATGGTGTGAAAGTATTATTTGAGCCTCTCGCATGGGTAAATGAGAACTATACAAGGGTTGATAAAGGTTTGGCGCATAATATTAATAGGAGATGCACAAGAATAAAGCCTTGTTAAACACAATGACAGGACCTACTGTAGACAAAATTGGAGCTAAGTTCCAGTTCATGATATAAAAGGAGGAGTGTACAAGAAAAAATCCTAGTTTGTGATGTGAACTGAAGCCAGACAAGACTGAGGCTACTCAGGAGGCTCATGATGTTAAAAGGACCTGCACAAGAATACAAAGGACAAACTTATGGCTACACAAGAGGGCTTATGCACAAGAATAAAGTTAAACAATGTGAGTAGATGGAGACTACTCACAAGATGCTCATGATGTTGAAAGAACCTGCACAAGAGGAAAGTTTTGATAATGTGAGGAGCTGCACAAGATTTAGGCTGACCCAGGAGGTTCATGATAGTAAAAGAACCTGCTCAAGAATAAAGTTTTGATAATGTGAGTAGCTGCACAAGATTGAGGCTACCCAAGGACAATGATAATAAAAGAACATGCACAAAAATGCAATGTCAGTAATTGTGAGGAGCTAGACAAAATTAAGGCACCCACAAGGTTCATGATGATAAAATAATTGCACAAGAGTGAAGTGTTGATAGTGTAGGGGGCTGGACGAAACTGAGGCTACCCAAGATGCTCATGATAGTAAAAGACCTATACAAGAATAAGTTCATATTAATGTGAGGAACTCTGGACAAGTTCCAGCTCATGGTAATCGGTGGAGATTGACAAGAATGAGGATATTGATATGATTTATTAGTCAATGTCCAGCTTATGGTATTAAAAGCCAGTAAGATGTAGTAGAAGATTCAAAGCCAGTGTGTGATATTGAGAGTAGCTTCCATGTAGTTAATGTCCACTTGTGTTGCCCAAGCTCAACCAACCCAGTCTTCAAAATCTATGCGTTTTTATATATATTATTTTTATAGGTGCCCAAAATATTTGTACAGTACTGTATGTTTGAAAAGGCCACTTTTCAAACTTAATTAATTTTAAACTTTAAATGTTGATTTTAACCCTATGGTTTTTTTTTACCTGCTGGAATGCAAGACGTGAGTGACCAGTAGGCATTAATTGTAAAATTAGGCCTAAGATTTTAGGGGGAAGGAAATAAAAGAAATTCCAGATTTTGGGCAACACATTTCTTTTCTTCTATTGGCTTAATGTAAGCCTAATATTGAGCAATCATTACATATAATGAATACAGTATTTTGATATCACTGCCTTTATGGATATTGTCATAGACATTGTAGGCCGTTTGTAAATTAAATATGCTGGAATCACAGCACAACTAGCAATCTTCAGTAGTGCCAGGAATAATTTATTTTAGTTTTATTTTTCAATTCTTTAAGCTTTGACAAAAAATGTGTGTATTCCCATATATAGTCATGATGTGCATATACAATGTTCATGTTGTGATATCCTCATGACCATATTTGTTTATCTGTGATTTTGCTATGTGGGTATACAACCCATCATCGTTATGTTGTTTTGTTAGAATCAGTATTCAAACTTTGTTAGCAAATTATTGGTTAGGCTACATTTGAGTTGGCCCACTTACTAAAATTGTTTTGCTGCCACTAGTAGTATTTCCCAGTGAGATACTGTCCCTGGGCGCATTTATGGGGGTATTTTTGAGAACTTGTTAGCACAAGCGTGGGAAATACCAGGTAAATTTGGTAGTTAAAGTCCCTGCCCCATCCCGTATCAAAGTTGCATAATTTTTCACACGATTTTAGCAAAGATTTTTTGCTAACCTCTGTGCTAAACCTACCGTTGATACATAACCACGAACAGTAGAGATTGCGAACAGACAGAACAGCGGTCTTATTGCAATCGGGAAAAGTATAAGTTTAATTTGGTAGGTTACATGGCCGTAACAGTAGTTCAACCGACGCCGGATTTTGGTAAATGGTAGTTCAAGTCCCTAATAATTTTCAGTAAAATGGGTAGCGCAAGTGTCTCATGTCTTGGAGTGGCTGCTGCACGCCCCCGTAAGGTTGGTATACAAGTGAGCCCCCCCCCCCCGAGTCAGATTTACACGGCAGTGCATGTTGACTTTTGAAAGAGGTTAATTAAATGGTACTGGTATAGGCATTTATAATGTGCCTCTTCCTTGATGTTATAAAGCCAGTTCTTTTCCCTGGTCATTGGGTCCACATGCTTTAAGTGTTGCTGCTAGTAATCAGCGCAGGAGCTGGCTAACCCCACCAGGTACTTATTTATACTCCTGGGTGGAGAGAAGCGATGCAGATAAAAGTGCCTTGCTCAAGGACACAAGCAAAATGCACAGCAAGGGATTGACCAAACTGAACCACTTCCACAAAGTCTTGTGTAGATATTTGTTTGTAATATAGCGCAAACATCCTCATATTGTACTCGGGAATGATAACAGGCTAGTGCCCACCACGGTAACTAGTTGAATCTTAGGAATGATGTTTTTACCCAACCTGACCCATTAAAAAAAATAAGTGTTTCTGGTGGGAATTGAAACCACAACGTAATACTTATAACAATAGCAATTGCTGTTTGTCAAGTCATGCTATTGAAATTAAAAGAGCAAATGTCAAAGGATTAATTAGGCAGCGAACAGTCAACTTTCCAAAAACAGTTTTAGTTGCTTTCTTTATCCTTCTGGGTATTTAGCTAACAGTACCTGTAGTTTGATGTTTCTCTCCATCTCAGACAATGCGAAAATGGCTATAATCATGTCAGTGAAAGTAAAATTAGAAAGAACAGATTATAATCATTTGGCTCAGCGGTGAAGCCAATGCAAAAATGCCTATAATCATGTCGGTGAAAGTAAAATTAGAAAGAACAGATTATAATCATTTGGCACAGCCGAGAAGCTTAACACTCTAAATCGACGATTGACATTGGATCTGAAGCTGATTGTGAATTCATGTATCTTGCAGGAAAAACATTTTGACTCAAATTGATTACAATTTAAGGGTTATGCAAAGGATATGAACCGTCTTATTTATGCACCTGTTAATTATGGAATAATAGAATAACACAGCATATCTGTAGCCAATACATCTTGATAACCATAGCTTTTATTGAGGTCAACTATCATTATTAACAACTGAAGGAAACACCTCCATTATATATCCAGACAATAATTTATTAAGAATAACTACTGTAGTTTGGAAAATGCACTTTGATAAAATTAAACTAGAAAATACAGTTGAACTTTCCTAAGTGGAATCCAAAATGGCATTGTAAAATTTTCTGACTTGGATAAAATTTGATTTGCAGATAGTTAATGGAAAACACAACAATTTGGCATGTAAAATAAGATGTACTTCGAAATTATTTGAGTCAGGCAAAATTGACTTAGGCAAGTTTAACTGTATTTAAAAATGCACTTTGATAAAATTAACAAACAATAGCTTTAATAGTATGTTTATAGTTCAGTGACAATATTACAGTGCACACCTTTTATTTGATACCAATTGAGGCACATAAACTTCAATCTTTTAACCCAGAGACATACTGTATTTTCAGGACCCCAATGATGATCTTGATTAGATGGTGCACTGTATCTCGGCGGTGGCTCCAGAAATTTGCCTACAGAGGGATCCAACATGTCCGACCAAAAGGGTCGACTAGAGAGAGTTTTTATGGCTTAGTATGGTTCAAATTTTGCTTTTAGACCACAATATTTGGTATTGGCAAAAAGGCAAATAATTATTTTTTAAATTTTTTTATCTGGTAACCTCACTGTGGCGTCGATGACAGAAGGATTTGGCGTGGGCGAAGAGGGGGCATATGCGCCCCACTAGTGCCACCACTGCTGTATCTGTCATTTAAACAATTATGTGCAATACTGAAATCAATAATAGTACTGCATTTGGATAATGAGCGATTCCATAAAAGTACAGTATCAACAAAACATAATTTTTCAATTTGGAGCAAGTGGATTCCAAAGGGTGGGTTTCTGTATATTGACATCAACCTTTTGGAGACCATACTTGATAACTACTGCATTAGCATTTATAAATATATCTACAATTCTTGTACTTAATACAGGAATGCAATATAAGTAAAGTGTTTTACAGCATTTGGGCTAGAGAGGGCAGCATGTCACTGACTAACCATCACAACCCAAATGACCTGCAGACTGGTATTTCACTTGTTGCAGCCAACATATAAATTTTAATATCTCAGAGAAAAATACTACAGGGACGGTTCCACACTACCGACCCCATGGTGGGTACGCCAACAAATGGATGGCTCCCATGTTCTTTTCTTTAGTTCAGCATTGATGTCATAGGTTCTCCGTATTAATCATATAATTCTATAATGTTCTCAATAATTTGAATCTGATCCTAAAAGTTTATCCTTTTTGTGGTATAAACACCATAAACTTGAAAGAGCAAGACCAACTGCACCTCCTTTTGCCATCGTTCTCAGTCCAGCTGTAGGGAAAGATAGAAATTGCAGTTTTTTTTAAATATTGTTAAGTCATAACTTTGGTGAATTATAGAAACAAGAATAACATTTAAAAAGTATGCAATTTAACCTATTCTTCGTGTATTTTATTCTAGAATAAATACAGTACATAAGCAATGAGATTGGGGATATAAATTGTTTCTTATGTAATTTATCTACCAGAGTTCATACCTGATGATTTGTAAAGTAGACCTGTAGCTGTTGCAGCTGATATTGTGTTGATTTCATCCTCTGTGCCTCGAGTCCATGAGATACCAAGACCAAGTATACTGTACATTACCGCTACAGTAAGAGAAATTATAGACTATCAAATTATGATTACACTTCAATGGTCCTTGTATTTACTTTAGTTGTATTTCATACAAGTTTAGCCAAATATACAGGGTCATATTACAAGAAAGCAAAAGGTCAAAGTTAGTGATGAGGTTGAAAATGCGCTGCAAATCAATAATTATTAATAAATAATACTAATTTTAATACAGTAATGAGTATAAAAAATATACATACCAACTACGCCAACAGCATTAGCAGCTGAGGCTCCCTGCTTTGTTACTAGGGTTAACATCCTGAGAAAGTAAAAAATAAATTTTACTTCAATAAAACAAATTAGTACCTTTCTGGAATTGACACTTGATTTTCTAAGTAGTTTTTAGGGCAATAGTGGTTTGCAGTGGCGGTGCCAGCACGTGTCAGGGGAATAGGACACAGTCGATAAGAAAGTCAGTCACTTCGCTTAGGAACAAGGCTTTGAAAATGCATTTTTACAGTCCAAGACATGCATTTTCCAGGCATGATAAGGTGCCTATTCTCAAAATGTTTTTACCTCAGCCCCAACTAAGGTTGGTGTAGACGCCTGTTGGGCAAATTGGAACCCTAGTCAGTGAATATCTGGCACTGCCACGTGTAACGTTTACTTGTTATCACATGACCAAAAGTATTTAGGAATGTACAGTATACAGGTCAGGTCTCTTGAATAGCTATTGTGAATTATTACACAAATATTTGCCAGAATTGTGAACAATTCTGTATGCAAATTCACAACATAAACACATTTACTTACTGTGACATCCTAACTTTGCCTGCAAGTTCTGCTGTTTGACTTCTGGCCACACGGATGCCATTTACCCCTCCATATACTGCACCTGAAAACAAATATTAGTGGTAACTTCTCAAAAACCATATTCATCACAAAATCTGCATACTGTACTTGAAGAACAATACAAATTATAAATTTTGGTAGTAAAAATATTTTCTATTACCTGCCATGACTGATCCTCCAATTTGAGAGAATGCCAACTCAAAACGACCTCTGACCCTTGATTGACCAGTTGGAACGATAAATTCTGCATCTCCCTAAAAAAACAGAAGGGATCAAAAGGATCAATTGTTTTAACTCATGAATGTATGGTATGTTAATTCGGCAAATTTCTGTGAGTCATTTCTTAAAGTCAGGCTCCGGAGGAAAAAATTGTTTGATATGTTGCAGAACTGATTTTTCTAAGACAGAAAAAAGTTGTTTGACAAAAAACTGGGGAACTGTCTTAGAAAAATCAGTTCTACAACATATCAAAAATCTGTTTTCCTCCAGAGTCTGACTTCAATGCCAAGACCTTATTTGTTGCCACATTAAGGTGTGCAAACATGATTTATTTTTTTTAAGAATGCTGAAACAGCTGATTATGTTAATCAGCTTTTTGACTACTGTAAATTTTAAGCAGATTCCAATTTATTAGGTTTGGTTTCCATATAAATTTGCTATTGTAGATTTCATTGCAATTGCTAACCCTGCCTAGCTGTTCCCCGACGCAATCAAGAAGGTTCTCCGATTCAACCGACCAATCAGCGTCATGAACAGGTGTCATAACAGCTTGTAGATAGCGATTTTATTGAAACCAGTCTTCAATACAGTTGAAATTGCTTAAGTCGAAACCCAAGAGGACATTGAAATATTATTCGACTTCGATACAATTCGATTTACAGATTTTTAATAAATGGAAAACACAAATATTTGGCATGTAAAATAAGATCAACTTATTTGAGTTAGGTAAGTTTAACTGTAATGATTTTTCCATTAAACCATGTAATTTAAATGTGGCTTTTTCAATGTGAATGTTAATTACAATTTAAACTGTATGGTATTAATAACACTTACTGTATTCAGGTATCTAGGATCTAGATTGAGGTATGGAGAGATAGTGCTGCTGCCCCCTGATGTCACTGAGGAATGTGAACAATGGTTGTGTTAATTCAAACATGTTACACATAAACAATACATGCTACATGCATTGTCATTGCCATAAGAGTTGAATAGCTTGGAACTTTAGATGCTTGCACTATTCTGTATTTTAATTAAGCAGATGACACCTTAAAGTCTAGCTCAAATATGCGCAGAAAATTGTTAGGAAAATAGGTGTGCAGAATCATAACTACAGCATAACACATTTGATATACGAATGATGATTAGGTCAAAGCCCAATTTTCAAAATGCGTCACAGATTTCTAGGCCTAATTTTTGAACAAAGGATACAATACATTCAATGCCAGGGTCGTCAGTTTAATTATTTTGACAGCATAATTTATTCGCTTTCTAGTCAAAACAGCAAAAAAAAAAAAAACACTTTTAGACTAGAAGGCAATGGACCAAAACGGCAATAAGTCAAAACTGCCATAAAGCAAAACGGCAACACTTCCAGAAGTGCATAATAATAATAAAAAGATTGGGGAAACACAATATAAAAGCAGTAAACTTTCAAATAAATAAAACTTTAAAATACAGACAAAATGAGGCTAAAACTATACTATAACAGTTAAAAACGCGAAAAAAAAATAACAATAATAATAGGCCTAATAACAATATAAAAACATACAAATTAATTAATAAAAGGATTGGGGGAAACAATAAAAAAACAGTAAACATTCAAATAAAAACAAATTATTGAGGCATTTAAACATTTCGTCATGGATGTGTAAAAAAAAAAAAATGTGATTAAACATTAAAAGCAGGAAAAAGAGCCCATCCATAGCAATATTCGATTTGACGATTGGGCCAATTTCAAAACGATTCGGAAAATTATAAACTGCGGCCCACACGCCAGGCAGCACTTGCTCTTGGCATTGATTTTGCTCCTTTGCCATTTTAGTCTATGCCTATTGTCATTTTGGTACTTATCATTGCTGTTTAGGTTTTTAAACCTCATACCAGTATAGGCCTAAGCCCTTATAACATGGCCTACATACTGTATAATATTTATTAATAGTTAATAATTATATACTTACTAGGTCTACTGTAGGCTAGACCTACGCAGGCCTACTGTCTGTAGCCCTACATGATACTGTGCCTACTAATAAGGCCTAGGCTAGGCGACTACTATCTACAAGCCTAGCTAGGCCTACTACTACTGTACTACTAGGCTAGGCCTACTGCCTAGTCCGGCTAGCTAGGGGACACTTGATCCTTAAATCATGTAGGCCTAGTAGTAGTAGCCTAGTAGTAGGCCGACGCCTACTACACTGCAGTACCTAGGCCTAGCTAGTCAACTCATCAATTCGGAGGAACGGTCTAGCTCTTGGGCAGCGGGCAGACCTAGCTGAGCATAGGCCTAGGCCCTACAGAGAAAGGGCATCCACTTCTTCCTCAGGCTAGGCTATGTAGGCCTACTAGCTAGCCTGTACTACTAGGCCCTAGTCTAGGCCTAGCTTATTTAACATTTATTTAATCGTTACCTGGAACATTCAAAGTGGGATCTCCATAGGAGTATCCACCAAACAGCCCTGAAGGCTGGTAGCCCCTTTGATCCATCATTTGAAAAATATTTATGTGGGTAGGCCCACACGTTTTGAAAATTTAAAGAGCGGCTAGCCTAATGCCTATCCGTATTCCGCATCGATGATCACGTTCTCGTGCATTCCATCGTCCTTACACTTGCGTGACCTTTTACCTTTTAATTACACAATGTTTGTCCAAAGTTTTATTTACTGTACTTTTTAAAATATATATAAAAAATCATAAGTAAGAAAACCAATAAATATTAGGCTTTTTTTTTCAAGATCAATTAAGTTTTCAAAAAATAATGATTAAAGTAAAAGTAATGTGTAAAATACAATACAATCAGCACGTAAGGTGATTGCGCCCTCTTTTGTTCATAATACGCCACCAAGAGAGTACCCAACCAATAAAATAATAAACTTTTTGACTTATGTTATTTTTATTTGACCTGGATAGATGACGCGATTGCATCATAATGTATATGATTTCATAGGCAAGATTTTGTTTGTAAATTATCAAAATGTAATAATCAATAATATTCTTACTATTTGTAATTCTTCCTTAGGATTATATTAAAATGTTTCTAATAATTTCAAAATTTTGAATGCAGTTCAGGATGCAGTTTTATTGTTGGTTATTTTTTTTTTATTTCTACAGTCTTTATAGGATTTTGTTCTTGATAATAGTTATCATTTAACTGTCAATTCGATGTAACACAGACTCTCAATGCTGTCATGTCAATTTTTACTGTTTTTAAAATAAAATAAACCAGTATAAACATTGTTCGATTGTGGATTTTAAAAGCAAATTATTTGCATGAATTCGAATAACAATTTTTTTAACTTTTTGAACCTAATGAAGGTATGGAGATGGTTTGGAATTACTTTTGTTTCCCGAAAAGGGAATCGAAAATGTGCTTTTGAAGTACTGTATATAGAACAAAAATATCTGAAACTTAGGTCTCACTTCGTTAAAATAGAAACATAGAGGAGCATGCTGTAGGATTTAGTTTTCTTTTTTTTTTTTTTTTTTTTTTTTTTTTTTTTTTTTTTTTTTTTCGTTTTTTTTTTTTTTTTTTCATGATCAGAGAAGTAACTTTATAGATCATTTTTTGTCGACACTATTATGCCAAGTCTTTGTATGCCTAGGCCTATTGTGAAGAGAAGTAGTATTTTAAAGTTATTTTTTGTACGGTACTTGACATGTACTTATACACTACATTGTAGGCGTAAATTGTGTGTAACGGTCGAGCGCTAGTGTTTTTTTGAATTATAATTGAGTATAAAATATCTTTTTTTTTTTTGCTCTTATTTTAACTTGTAAATAGATTTTTTTGAATTGCATGTAGCTTGTTCTTAATTATACTGATCCATGTGCAATGTTTATTGCAATCCATTCGTCGGTTTTGAACCGTTACATAAAGTTTTTCAGTTGCCCGAGTTGATGATCCTTTATTATTGTCATTAACAACTGTGAATATGTTCATTCTAAGTGATAGTATTACGTACCAATTACTTATAACAACCATTGGTCAAACCAACTGAGCGATCAGTATTATGCTAATCATGGTATGTTCGCTCGAGTATATAAACATGGAAATTCTACATGTGCAGTCGTTTCTTTTATTGAGCGAACAACTGAGAAGTATAACTATTATAGCAATGATGAATTCTATCATCCTGCTTGCCGCACTTGTGTGTGTTTCGTCTGCTTTTCCAGAATTCACGGTGGATGTATTAAGGAAAGAGTTGTCTGCATTCGGGAGCGGTAACGTCGAATCGAATGTAGTTGAATTGGCAAAGACGCTTAATCTTAACACTCTTGTTGAACTGATTACCGTTGCAGATCTTGCAGAAGAGCTTACGGGTTTGGGATTTTTTTTTTTTTTTTTGGTAGTAGGCTTGGTGGTGAATAATTAGGCGTTTATCATGCATTTTAATATAGGAGGTAGTAAAGTATGTAGTTTGGAATTGATGAGTTTTGGATTATCAAAATATCTGTCGCTTATTCCTAGCAATTTGGTAGGCCTCCCTAATCACACCTTTTTCTTAAATAAAATAAATAAAACTGGCTGGTGCACGAACTGTAATTTATTTTAGATCACCTGACGGTTTTTGGCCCTACTGATGACGCATTTGACGAACTTCCAGAGGACGTTATGGCGGCAATTAAAAATGATGTGCAAATGTTGACCGATGTCCTGCACTACCACATTCTTGGAACCAAAGTCTACTTCAAACAGCTTAAGAAGAACGAGCTTCTTCTGCCAAGTCTTCTAAAATCAACTTCCGTCCGTATCAACACCTACGGTGAGGTAAGCCGTCGTTAATCCCTGGCAATAAAAAAAATGCGTAATGAAGAGGCCCGAGACCCTAGTAAACTATTTTGGGTCCTACTACCCTGTGCACAGGGTCCAGTGGGGTATGGAAAATCCCGTCGCATTTTTACGTTTATTCGCCCTTTAGCGCCCATGGTCTCGGAAAATTAAATAGCTTTCGCCACTGCATTGCAATAGGTAAATTTGGTTACTGAATTCGAACAACCCGTTTGATTAATTTACAGCTTACCACGGCAACTGGATCACCAATCTCAAAACCAGACAACTGCGCCACTAACGGCGTCATCCATGTAGTAGATCGTGTTATGTTTCCTATTCCTATGAATGACATGTTGACTTTAGTAAAACATAATGGAAATTTCACAACGCTACTGAAAGCGATTGAAGTTTCGGGCTTTGCAGACACACTCAAAGGTAACACCAGCCAGATGTTAGTAGTTAAACCCCTGCAATAGCAAATAGGCTTGATGTCTGCAAAACATTAAATATTTCTACCAGTAAGTTTGCTATTTTGCTATTTTCTTCCAGGTGGTCCATACACTCTGTTTGCCCCAACCAACGATGCTTTTGATAAACTTCCACCTGGAACACTTGATAAACTACTCGGCAACAAAGACGAGCTATTTAAAATTCTCTCGTATCACCTGGTAAATGGAACGTTCTTTAGTGCTGCATTAAAACGTGTTGGCAAAGTAAAAACTACCACGACAGATGACGTCACAATTAACGTTTCTTCTGATGGTGGTAAGTATATATCGATTAAATATTTAGACCAAGAAAATATATAGACTATACTATGCTGCCTAATACTTGCCTCATGAATTTACTACCGTAATATAAAATTTCATTTAAATTTCAAAATCGGTTTGTCCGTATTTTTATGAAGAGGTTACTTGTCATTTCCAGTATGACTTCAAAATATGAAGATTGTCTGCGTTAAAATGTTTTCTGTCCACATGTTTACATGATCATGGTGAAGACGGTTTTAAATTGACTTTAATCAAATTGTTTTTTTCAGGATTGTCTCTAAACAACAAAGCCACCGTGATCATAGCCGACGCTGCAACAACCAACGGAGTCGCGCACGTGATTGATACTGTGCTCCTTCCTCCAAACGTGGTGTTCCAGCTAGTGATGATAGATCAGTAATATATTTCTCGTGTGTATAACGTAAAGCTCCAAAAATAACAAGAATAAATTTCTTTTCGAAAGTGTATTGTTTTCGTCATTGTACTTGTGCACATTGTTATGGTTTACATTAATTCATCCAGATATTAAAAATAGTAGAACCACTGTATAGACTTCATTATAGATCAATGAAAATGCAACTTTCACTCTCACTTTATATTCATATGCTTTTTAAAATATCAACATTAGGATGAACACACAAACAAAATTGAAGATACCGAATTATTATTTATTTGGCTAATTTAAAACATATTAAAAATAGTAGGACCACTGTATGACGTAAGGACATTATATAATACGAGAAGTAATATTAGTTAATGAAAATGGACGAGTGTACGTTCTATAGTGGATTTACTTAATTTTACACTTATTCGATATGCTCTTAAAATATGAACATATCGGGGATAACCCTAAAATTGTAAAAAAGACATGAACCGATGTGAAATGAACACAAAACAAAATTTAATATGCAAGTTATATAAATTAATAAATGAAAATAAATTCAGTCACTATAACCTAGGGTCCTAGACGGACACGTACTCTTTACTAATGCATGGAATTAAACGCATTTCAAATTGCCTTCAAATGGTATCCATCATTATGGTCGCAAACGTTTCTCGAACATTTTCATGTATATTGGCATTGTTTCATCGGCGCATTTCAGAACACATTTCTCCAGCTCCGAGCGTAGTGGCATTGGATCTAGTTTCTTAAAGCAGGTGCTGTCGAAGGCATTCTGGTAAACTTTCGTCAACTTGTTGCATTGTAGCTGTATCTTAGACGCAACCCAGTCCTTGACAACACCATCACCCGCCTCCCAGGAGAGTAGCTTGTCGGTGTACTTGATGTCTAAAGTTTGGCAGAACTTTCGAAGAATGCCTTCTGGATTAGATTGCAGTTCATCAGCATCGATTATAACCGGGTCTGGTTCGATTCCACTTGATATCAAATATTCGTATAATTCAAGGTGGTCTGCGTACGCGTATCCTTTTGCACCACCGATATCCAAGACCTCATCCAGGCTTTGAGTCGTACCATAACCTAACAACACCTTACTCCACGATTTATATAGCTTTAAAGGATGACGGATCATAAACGCGTGGCGATATCCTTTTGGAATCAGGGAATGATTAACTGAAACTGGTTGGGACATGTCTTTACAGAAGACAATGTCTTTTCCTGGATAATCTCCCTCTAGTAACGATTCCTTAACCCATTTGAACGTGTACAAGTTTTGATCAAGTCCTACGTCATGAAGACTGATCATCTTCGAAGCATCTTTGAGATTTTCGAATGCATCTTTAGACTTTTTCTGCATTATCAGTTGGCTTTCTGGTCCATACATCATGGCGCACGTGTATGGTTCTGAGATGACACTTACGTTGTCCAAGTGACTCATACATTTTGTGAATGCTGTAGATAGTGTCCTTGGCATCGACCACAGCATCACCCGAACTTGATGAGATCCATTCTCCATGATTTGTTTCCAGTCAACTCTAAAAATGATTAAATTAAACATGTTATCTATTATCAGAAAATATATTTCTACATAATATATTTCTAACATAAGATAAAGTATGATAAAACGTATTTTGTCATAGAGAAGGGACATGAAACAATTATATATATATATATATATACTGTCTCTTATATCTGCAACAAAATCATCTATGCATTTTTTCTACTAATTTCCAGAGTAACTTATTGAATCTCTATATTCAGATTATAGAAGATATATTGAACTGTAGACCTATTTCATACCGAACACTTGTCCTTATTTCAACATTATCTTAACTGTTTCTGAGCAATTTACTTATCGTATTTAAAAAAAAATAAGAAAAAATATTAGGCCTATACTAAAATTAGAGGGTCCATTGCAAATTAAGTATTTGTTTTTATCCTTAAATATTAAAAAAAAACAAAAAAAAACAAAAAAAAAACCCAAATATAATAATTACAAAATCCAAGACTACTGGGCCAATCGGATAACAAAAGTGAATTGAATCACTGTAATGCAAATCCGTATCTGTCATCAACTCAGTTTACATAATTGTGCACTGCTATTAAAATTGTTAATATATTATAAGGTCTTTAAGAAAAGTGAATTTTAGTTCTAAGTTAATTTTTGACTAGATAGAAACAACTAAGATACTGTAATACTCATCAGAAAAAATACAGTGACCTGAAAATAACAAAATAAACATAAAAAGACCAACATATACATGCCAGAGTATTATATATTAAACATTAAATTGTACCTAAACAAGATATAAAATCAGATAGGGCCTACACTTAGTGCAATATTCTACCATTCTGTTTCAAACTCTAGCTTAATCAGACTAGGCATGAATATCAACTAACACAGCGATGATTCAGTTGTGCAGTAATATGTAAATAAACAAACACTGTCTTAATATCTAAAAATGTTACTGTTCAAAACTTGTTTCCTACCTTAGCTGTTGTGACGATTAGAAAAACGTTGCTAAGTAAGCACTGGACAGCCAACGACTGATAATCGGAATTGGTAGAAGTCTGTTAATACAAAAAGGTAAAATGTAATCCCAGCATTAACTGAAGGTTATGCGACATTTGATCGTATTAACATGTTATAAAACCACTAAAGCCCAAATATAACATTTTTTTAAATGTTATTGACAATAGAGTGGTACCTGCCACAAAAGTTACTCCATGATGCTAAAATTATAGTACCCTGATTAGTATGTGGGGATTTGTAGTTCTCATATTTTTTTATTGGCTTAACGTATTACAATGCAGGCCCGTGTGCTATTGTATTGGTACGTGTACCATGTTATTTCTATATACACGACCTCATATAAATATTGCACTCAATTCATTCGTCAAGAATACTACTACTACTACTGCAAACATGTATTGTAAGATATTTTATTAGTTTTACAAGGTAACGTAAAAATAGCATAGACTAGTTCAGATATCATATACACCCAAGTAATGTTACCTTTAGATAACAAAAGAAATCTTCTTTCTTTCTTTTTGCCTTTGTCCTGCACCTGGACTACAGAACCCTTTAATCCTCTATTAAGTATATGCCTGAACATTTTTCAAATTAACTGTATAAATGGGAAGAGCGAATGAGGTTATGCCATGAAACGACTGGGGGATTTGTTGAGGATTTATTTTGACTATGATGGTACTATATTTTCAAATGTTCGCACCTCACCATGGTGGTGCTTAGATGAATGTAGAGTCACGAATGTCCCACACCCAACTCTACCTCTCAAAAAGATCTTTGCCCTTGCTCTGGCCACATTTATGGTGGACTTATTTTAATGTCATTACTCCTTTCATTACTCGGCTATTCCACCACCTGTCATCATCATTTTCTTAATCGCCATCACTATAAGCTCTGAGAATGCAGGAAGCAAACTAAAAACGTTCTTATAACGTTCGCGGTAGGAATGTCGCTAATAACGTTCACACAATGTTGTAAGCACGTTCAAACGTTGTTTTTAGGTTGTGAAATTAGGTTATAAGTACGTACATATGGTTCTACAAAATAAGGTTTTTATCACCTAACTGTAACGTTATTATAACGTTCTTAGAACGTAATATTGTTAGCTGGAAAGTACATATCCCAGCTAGAACACACCTATCTGTTGACAATATGAATAAAATTATAGTAGAACCCCTATTATACACCAAAAAAGTGTTACCTTAATAGGGATGTTCCCAAAATGGAGTTCCCTATTAAGGTTGGGAGAGGGGGAACTGAAAATGTGAAATTGAACGTGGTAATCAACAATGAGGACGTATTCTTTTATTTCAGTTGATCTATATTTAATATTTTTGAAGATTTCCATTGGCTATTCTGGCATCTGTCCCTTTTTAATGATGTTTTAACTGTCTCTACCGCAATTTGTATATTCTAATTGTTGTTGTTCAGCCCCACTATGGTTGGGGCTGAGGAGGTATCGTCCATCTGTGAAAATCCCTCCTAGATCCGCCACTGGATTCGAATATGAAATTGTTTATAAAGGGTAACACACACAGTGAGCTTATCGATCCCCATTTTAAGTGTTCATTTATATTGTTATATTTTGAGTAAAATGCTGATGACGGAATCGGAGGTGGTACCAGTGGCTACAGATCCCCAGTCACGGGGATCTCCACGGTTGTGAGAAAAAAAAATCTTCGGAGAGAAAAAAAAAACACTTTTTACAGGGTGTGAGACTTATTTAATGCCTTTTAAGTCCCTAAATTGTAAGAGTTTCCTGTCCAGGGGTGTTCTCCAGGCCCTATGTGAGTGTTCTAGAAAGTCACTAACTTCCAATTTCCCTCGTCGGAAAGATCTGCCTACCCCACCCTCCTGACCTCCATGTGTATGAGGAGCCTTGAATTTGGGATTTAGAGTAGGTGGGGGAGGTGAGGTAAATTGGGGCTTGATGATGAGATAGGAGCGCCAAAGAGGTGGCGCCAGTTGGGAAGAGCTGCCTCCCCTCGTCTGTCGGGGAGAAAAACCACAACTCGTTGGGGAGAAAATGTATAGGGCCCTATGTGTTTTTTTACATATTGGTGGACACTTAAATCGAATAAGCCTTTGAAACCCAAAAATTGTCATATTTTTGGATCCCCAGGAACACTTTCAAAAGGCTTTTGAGCGACGCCAGACCACGCGTCTTGGACTAGCAAACACTGATTTGGAAGAGATATAGTCAACCTTTTGAGACACCACTAACAGGATTACAGAAGAGACGGAGGTGTCTTCGCTCCATTCTGGGTGTCTCACTAAAGAGACTAGCAGAGAAAAGACATTTGCAACAACTGGACATTACAACTAAGATTACTAATGTAGTGACTAAAATGATTTGGGCATATCATCAGAATGCCAGCCTGCAGACTAGGCCAACCAGATTTACCACAACAACTTCAACGCACCAGGCCCGCGAAGTACGCCCTTAAGTCAAGTAAGAAAGTCATATTCAGCCCTACCGTACTTTTGATGTTAAATAATGTTAATATATTTATTATAGGCTTAATTCTTGGATAATTCACAACATTTATTGCCATGTAAATGGTGTTTAAGAAGTTAGTACAAACATAATCGGTAATTCGGTATTTTGATGATATTTAGGTACTATATAAGAATCAGCCGGAAGACTAGGTGAAAAATAGTCAAATCTTGAAACAAATCTAAGCTCACGGGCTCTTGTCGGAATTGGACGATATCTTATGTTGAATTATTGGCTTTTCCTGCTTTAACAGAAAAGGTAATTGTTTTCTTTTAATGTTTTTTTTTAAATTTATTTATTTTTTATTTCAACATCACTTGTTGTTATGGATCCAGATATAGCATTCTAAACATGTGTTGTGATTTTCTGGGCTAATTGTATGACAGGTATAGAGCGTAGTCCCTATTATTTCTGTTCTGAATAGGCCTATTTTTATAGGCTTAATGTATTCTTGAGTCATAACTGTAAGAATAAGACATCCTGTAAGGTCAAACTCTTCCAACAAAATTTGCTTATTATGCGAGAGTTCCTCATGAACATTTTACTCACTCCCTCAAACCAGCGACCTAGTCGACCATGAGATCTTTTTTTGTCCGCTGTGAACACTTGCTATAACAGCACGAATGATTTTTAAGGTTTCCTTGTTTTTGAATGATCATAATTTTTATGTACCGGCACATTTATTTCCATACGTAATCATTGTTCAAGCCCCAGAAAGCTAGACTGAAGAGTTTTCTGTGGGAGCAAACTAGTCCTACTAACTACAGATTACTGTAATTTAGTAAAACTTCGATGTATACAGCGTATATTGATTGTACTAAGCGTTTTCATGACTGTAAGTATCTGTATCTGTTATTTTCATTAATACATTGAAATCAATATTCTTGCCAAAAACATAGACTCCAAGATGGCAGGCATACTATGAATTATATTGTGCAATCAATCACTTTAATAAATACCCATGTCAAAGTGATTATTTATTTTCGGGGCACAAGACTGAAACCTACAATCCGGGATGGGTATCAGGTGGATGTTTACTATAAAGCACTTCAGTAAAAGAGTAATTATCTTAACTGTACATGACTACAGCTTAGTTTGCCTGGTCGGTCAATACATATGCGGAGGGCACCGACTGTACTCTCGAACCAGGGCCCCTCGAAACGAACATACATACATACATACACACATACATACACACATACATACACACACATACACACATACACACATACATACATACACATACATACATATACTTACTTAATTCATCATTATCAGTGGCGAATTTAGGAAAGCAAAATAGAGGAGAACAAGGAATGACAATTTGGAAAAAGTTAGATCACCTCAGCCCCACCATATATATAAGGTCTATATATATATTGGATTGGATTTATTCGGTGTAAACACCAAGGAAAGCCTACGAAAGTCTAGAAGAAAACTTATTTCCAGTGGGGTCCTTCTGGTGGTTGGTGGTGATTGGACAGTACACGGGGAGACAATCCCCTACTCTTTTCTGAAGAGTGCACTGCGTTCTTTAACGTGCACATGGGCCATAAATGCACACGGGACCAACGGCTTAATCGTCTCATCCGAAAGACGGTGAGCTATTGTAACTTGCATTTCAGCCCTCTAAATGAAACACAAGGAGAAGCAGCGATGGGAATTGAACCGGGGACCTAGAGATCTCCACGGTTCAGCGCACACACAGTGGCTACCACCCATAGAGATATAATAAGAATACTAGAGCGCTAACCGCAATGTATTCGATGTTCGAAATACGCAGAACTGTGTGTGTGTACCATGCAAGATGGCTGCCATAGATTTAGCCAATCAAATTTCGCTAAGCACCATCGTTTGCAATTGCGCCTTCAATTTACTCAGAAAGTTAGTACAGCTAGTTACCCGTATGTTTGAAACTCGAGCGTTGCGGTGTTTGGGTGTAATCAAGGTAATTCAACAAAAGGACGCTCATCTCGGGACATCAAAGGTTATGGCTATGTTCAGACACAACGACTTACGCTAGCGTAACGTTAATCGAGTGGTGTCAAAGATACTAGAAATACAAGATAGAGTTCTCCACACAAAAAAAGTGTTCCACCGAAATGCATGGTGGGAATACGAAAAATGGGACGCCCCCTACAGCTGGATCTAAAAAAACTTGTGCCAAACTTTCTTTACCAAGTCGTCGCGTATTTTATTACAATTCTCAACAAAGACACTAGACAAAAAACAAACTGGAATAGACACCCAGACAGTGACATCGGTGAATACATAACCTCCTTGGTAGAGGTGTAAATCGTTGCTATTATCCAAATAATACACAAAACAATTAAAGCATAATCATGAATCAGTAAAGAATAAAACAACAATACAGCGCAGAATCGCATGGCCGGACGCGCTCTTAGTGAAAAAGTTTTCCTCCATTAGTGG